CCTGGCATATGGGCAAATGATTCTGAAGAGTGGTTTCTTCCATGCAGATCCTCATCCAGGAAATATATTGATCTGTAAAGGCTCAGAGGCAAGTCTGCCACTGGAATTTTCCATACGAGTTCTGAACTAATAGTAGTTTTTCGTTTTTGCAACCTGTCATGCTCTCATATTTCTCAGCCCATTTACACTTTTCCAACTTCTGAGAAAAAATAAAAATGTGGTATACAGAAGATGATCGGGGATTCAGGATTTCAGTAGTTGTTACATTTAAGAATTTAGGATTGGCTAGCTTAACAGTTTGACTTTTGATTGCCCTGTTTGAATCATGAATCGAGCTGAAACCATAGATTTTTTACTCCATTTTATCAGGTAGCATTGCTTGATTACGGGCAAGTGAAGGATCTTCCTGACGAGTTGAGGCTTGGTTATGCTAAACTTGTTCTTGCTATTGCAGATGATGACAGCACAGGAGTTGCAGAAAGCTTCAGGTAATAATAATAAAAGTCCGGCTGGCCTATAGTGATAGTTGAGTCTTGTATTTTTGGAAAAGGAAGTAAATTTTGTTTGGAAGGAAGCTTCTTACAAAAGTTGGCTCTAAGATCCAAAGTTGCATTTTGGTGTTCTTACAGAGTGCTTTGTTAAATACTAGGAAGTCTGGTCAAGTAATCTTGAAAAGATCAATAAACTAACTAGCTCTAAGAACATATAAGAGGATTTCTTGTGGGGCTACTGGGAAAAAGGTAGATTGAAAAGGGGTTATCGTTATACTAATTCTTTTATCCCTTTAATGGCTGTACAGGGAGCTTGGTATAGATACTGTAAGCAATTGTGAAAATGTCCAAGAAGAACTATTTAAGGTGGCACAGGGAATGTTCGATACAAGGTTACCACCGGGAAAGGTGTCGATGCAACCATTCCAGGAGGACTCCTCGATAAAGAAAGTTGGTGTTCAGGTACAGCACAGGCTTTGTAAGTCAATAGTGCTCTTCTGTAGAGGCATACATATTTGTATCAGTAACTAAAAAGACAAAGCGTTTTTCTTTCTCTGTTTCGATGCCATAGTCATTTCCAGAGGAACTCTTTTCAATACTTCGAACAATCCAAATCCTTAGAGGGCTGAGTGTTGGTCTTGGAATCAACTACTCATGCTCGGAACAATGGCGACCCATTGCAGAAGAAGCTTTGATGGTTTCTGGTAGGCTAGAAGGTGATCCTCTTGAACTCTTTAATTTAAAACAAAAGTGACTCATTTGTTTGCTTCCTGGTAGGATTGTTGAATGAACTTCACTTCATTATGTCTGTGTTCGTTTGCATGATCTTTTCTTCATCCCTTGCTGATCTATTTCAGGCAGAAAGGTCGATACTACAATCCGTAAACGCAGATTGTTTTCGAGATCTAGCTGATTCGTTCGTGACAAGACAGGCAAAAAATATGAGTCAATCTGGGTGCATCTGATCAGAGTTCCTCACTTGTTTATGGAAATAAATATTAAAAATTTGAGGAATGTCATTCTTTAACCACCACAAGCTCCTCCTCCATGATAGACTTTTCAAGCTGCAGCCTTTGTTTAGTTCTTTATTCCCCTTTTTTTCTTAGATATTAGTAGGAAGTTGCCATGATTTCCATGTTTATGAGATGAGGTGCAAATTTAATTTAATTTAACATCTAATGTTCATCTTCTTCACAGAACCCATGTCTGATTACTCCAAGTTGAGGTTCAATTGTTAGCTATCTGATTTGCCTAAAACGAGTGGAGAGTTTGGGATTGAAAATATTGAAAATAATATTTCTGTACGAATATGGTTTTTGGTATTTGAAAATAGATGATATCAGGAACGAATGTTTGAAAATTGACGGTTTAATAACGTTTTCATTTCTTGTTTCTTGTTTAATAACGTTTTCATTTCTTGTTTCTTGTTGTTTTATCAGTTCAAATTGATTCGTTGTAGGTAGTTGATGCTTATGAGATATTGACGGTGATTAGAAAAGTCACATATCTTTCCTTTGTATAACTGTCAATATAAATAATTTTTCTTGGCCTTTGGTAAGTGGAAAATGGTACATGATGTTTAAATTTGTGATTGATGTTTTACTTTATATTCCCTCTATAATGCAAATAAAATTAGACCATCATTTGAATCCGCACTTCAGGTACTACATGAGAGAGGTCAGAACTGTCGTTTATTCCCTGTTCTTGGAGTCCTATAAGAGTGTTACAATTGAAGCAATGGCGAAGGCATTTGGAGTATCAGTGGAAATTTATTGATCTGTAAGTGAAGTGGTCATTCTAAAGTGTATTTTATTATATTTGTGAATAGCAGCTTTGTTTTTCTATATGGGCATGATGTCTAAATGACCTGTTATCCCTCTCGTAAATCTGTTCTTCTGATGGTGTCAGGGGCTTATCTCGTTTTGCAGCACGAAAACTCGATTGCAAGATCGATAAAGTTGCAGGTGTTCTTGAAACTAATCATCCCGACTCAAAGAATGCTCTGTACCAAGCTACCATCAAGAAAGGAGACTTCTTACTGAACATGTCTCGTGTAATTGATCTGTAACTAGGCTTCTAGTTTATTCGAAATTTGTGTAGTTGATGCAGGTTTTCAGCGATTCGACATTATGACATTCGAGCCAAAAGCGGCATTGCACGGATGAAATTTGAGCATTAGAGCTTTGTGAAAATGGCGCTGTAATTTCTGGTTTAAACATAGCACCAAGACCTCGGCTAACTGTTATCATCACTCATCACTATCTCTTGATTTTGATTTATCAACCAAATATCTCTCTTTCATGCCTTTCTCTTCTACCAGGTGCGTTGCCGTTTATATTGACTTTTTGATACCGAGTGGAGTGAATTAATCCAGAGACTTGAATGTGGGGTTTTCCTTATTGGGAAGTTGTTTGACTAATTATGTTTATGGTACGAATCTGTGGGAATTTGCTGATATTTATGATGATAACTTAATTATAATGTTTGCTTATTTCAAGGTTATTGGTGGGTTTGCTATTTTCAGTAAAGATGATCAATCTTCTTCCTTGATTATGATCATGAAAATGCAATAATACCCATACCCCACAGCCATAGATTCATTCAATCATTTGATCTGAGTGTATATTCTTCATCAAAAGGTCCCATCACGATTGATTGGGAAAAAGATCGAAAGCGAGAAAGATGGATTGTTATCCGTAGGTTTGATTTCTCATCTCCACTTTTAGTACAACATATAGGGATTGAGGATTTGAACTAGTGACTTCTTTATTAGAAACATGTGTCAATTACTGCTGAGCTAAATTCATATTGAACAAAAGTAAATTTATTGTAATGTAGATATACTTTTGGATACTTGTGGTAAATATTCGCTGAATATTGAGGATATGGACCATATAGGGTAATGAAAAATAATTATTTAAATAAATTGTTCTGAAATTATAATTTTATTTTAAAACGAATTTCTCAGGGTCTTAATTGGTGTTTTTGAACTTCGAGTTTGCCAAAACTGTACATTCGTTGGACACCAACCGCCACGCCAATAAATAGTTGCGTTGTGTGTATTGAGGAATAAGCGAAACCAAATTTCATATTTTAAAAGGAAGATTGAAGAGACCTAAAAAGGAAAAACATGTGGAAGATTTGTTTGGCATTCTGATGTTTCTACTATAAGATGAAGTAAAGGGAGGATTTTGTTCACATGCGAGATCACGAACCGGGGATTTGCCACGGTTTCTCGGCCACAATTTCTGAAGTTTTATATATCCCTTTGACGAGCCTGTTGACCCACTTGGCTTTCGAGTGGTGCAATTATTTGTTTCCTTTCAAGCAGTCGTTCATGGTCACGCGTGACGTAAAGTAGGAACGAAGGCTTGTTTGGCACTGAAATGAGAGGACCCTTTTCAGATAGTAGCTAGAAGAGAACCACCATGTTCCCTCGTCTTGATTTTAGAGATGTTCAAGAGAAGCTCTCCGCGCAGTTCAGACCTTGGGAACGCTCTTTTCAGTTCTGGGTCCGTGTTGCTGACATCTACACTGGTTATAAGGTCGGTTTTTATGCGTGTAAGAGCTCGGGTTTCAGATAGTTGGTGGTTCAATTTGCTTTGTGGGGATTGTAGGTTCTTCAGCTTCGGGTGAGGTTCGAGAAGGATGTGGAGAAGCAGGAGGCAATGTGGGAGAATCAGCACGAACATGCAGCTGAGAAGATATATGCTATGTGCTCCGAAATGGGTGGTTTCTTCCTTAAGGTATTTTGTTCATAGACCCTTTTATCTCTCTCCCATTTCTCCGAAACGGGTGCTTTCTTTCTTTCTCGGTTCTCCAGGATAGATCATTCCCCATTGTCTTTCCGTTGAGTGAGAAATTGAAGTATTCAATTGATTTGTTATCGGTCCTAATACTTTCATTTTATAGATTATTCTACATTGTCTTTGCACCCCCTTTCTTTCTTAGAGCCTTTTTTGCTTTTAATCGTACGGTTTTAGTTTTAGAACAACTGACTTACTTGAAGCTGGATTTTATGAATGAGGTTGCTCAAGTTATTGGGAAGCCGGATTTGGCCCCAGCTGCATGGGTGAAGAGGCTTGTTACACTGTGTGATCGAGCACCAGCAACCCCTTTTGATGTTGTTCAACACGTTGTGGAGAAAGAACTGCACAGAAGTCTTGGTGAAGTCTTTGAAACATTTGACCCTGAACCTCTTGGTTCAGCTTCCATTGCTCAGGTATCTCTGTTGTTCTGCTTATGGAGACGTCTATCCAGCTATCGCCAAAAAATTGTAGTGTTAGCAACTTGAATTCAATAAAGTGTGAGGTGGAAACTGTTAGTTGGGTTTATTACTTGTTGGAGAAAATATGTGCACATCCCGGTCATCCCCTGCTGAATAACACAGAATTCCCGGGTCACTTCGAGTCCTCAGAAGACGTGAAAATCTCTTTGACAGCCAAAAGAATTTAAATATATCGCTTGGTTTGTATGGCATTAATTGAAAACTGATACATTCACTGTCATTTTGATTTCATAGCCATATGGATTTAACTGCTGTATTTCCATTTCCTTGCTTGTATTCATCTCTCTTGAAATATTTTATTGCTTATAGGAATAGATTATTTGTAGTTGAAAGGATCAGTTGGCAGTGTGTTTTTGGTTTTTGTAAAAATACTAGTTAAGTTTATCTCTGACATATATTTTGTGCTCAAATCAGGTTCACAGAGCTAGGCTAAAGGGTGAAAAGAATGATGTTGTGGTCAAGGTAAGGAAACTTAAGCCATATAATATTCTTATTATTTATAGTCTGTTACTCCAACATAATGTGTATGTGATAGGTTCAACATCCAGGAACTGAGAATCTAATGATGACAGATATCCGTAATTTAAAAGCCTTTGCCTTGTGCATTCAAAAGACAGATATCAAATTCGATCTATATTCTGTAGCAAAGGAAATGGAGAAACAGGTGAAATTCTTCATATTTTGATTGTGATAAAGAAAATAACGTTATTCTTTTTGCCACTTGACTTTTTCCTTTCCCTTATGATGTTAGATTCTGACAGTGTTGTTTCTTCAACTTTATTGCAAATATTACACCTTGTAGTGATAACCAATTATGGAATATTTAAATTTGATCTTGGATGGTCTTTTAGGATATTTCTCTGTAAAGTATGACACGTTAACAAAACTTACAGTTGAGGTTAGAAAACTAGGAGAATATTTAGTATCTTATACTGGTAACTAACATCAAGTGTTAAACCCATGATCTCTAAGTTATTTAGTTATGTTGGCCTCTTTGACCACTAAACCAACCCACCATGGTTAATAGTCAGAAGATTATAGAATGATTTTTTGGCATATTTCTTCATTCACCCAACCAAATGACGTATTCATTATTTTCTTTGCCTTTCCCTCATTCCATCCAACCTCATTAAAAAACAAGCTATATCATCAAAATGATGTGTGGAGATCTGTTATGTATTACTTTGGCTAAACATATCAAGGTTAGGTGAGAGCTGTAGCATCTACCTTGCATTTTTCTTGAATTTTCCATTTATTGTTTCAGGCTCTTGATTGCTTCATTTCATAATATCAAACTTTTGCATGTCCTCTTTCTCACGATGATGGATTCTCATCTTGGAATCTCTTCCTTCTAATCTTTTCAAGATCGGTTATGAATTTGACTTTGAGAGGGAGGCAAATGCTATTGAAAAGATCCGACTTTTTCTATGTAGAAACAACAAAAAGAGTCCTGTATTGGTGCCACGCGTGATGGGGAATATTGTTACCAGGTACATGCATGATGCAATGAATGATAATGGTAGAACTTGATGGGACCATACTAAATAACTAGAACTGGGACTAAGGTTAATAAATGAAACTGTTGAGTCTTGACACAGCTTAAATACCATTATCATTATTTTTATTTTTTATTTTTAACCAATAGCTGTATATTTAGTTATCTTCATCTGGTAATTGATTTTTTGGAAGAAAATTATTCATTAACGATGATGCTCAGGGACATAGACCATCACTTCTTCTGTTGCTTTTGATTCACTGGTTTCTCTCATCCTAGGGACAGGTAGATGATTGTCTTTGAAAACTATTATTTATCCATTTGAAGGTTTCTTCTGGTTGGGTGTTAACCGAATTTTTCCAATAAAATTGATTAACAAAATTTGCCTCGGCATTGGATGAATTTGTAGAACATTTAATTCAGATCCAAGGGGTTCTGTTGGTTTTATAAATGCTGGCAGTGAAGTCACTTATATTTCTTATTGCTGTTGAAATGCTGCTATCCAATTGAAATTTTCCAACTATCACCTAGTATATGTATAATGTCAATCTTTTTGGCAATCTAGCGAACTAGTAGAACATATTTCTTAGTTATTTTCCCGTCTGGATCGCTTAGGTGGTTCTACCTCTGTGAACTATCTATGCTCCTTCTGTTGCAGTTATTTGTCAATTGGTGGAGATTTTAGTAATCTAGTCTCTTTTGTTTGGTCAGGAGGGTTCTGGTGATGGAATATATTGATGGAATCCCAATCCTCAATCTTGGCGATGAAATAGCAAAGAGAGGCATAGATGCTAGTGGCAAGATTGCTTTAGCAGCAAAGCAGTAAGCATCTATACTGAGAAGTCAATTCATTTTATTTTTTGTTTGTAGACATAGCTGTAGTGTCTCATCCACGGCATTTCTATTCGGGTTTCTGTTTCCCTTGCAACTTTTACCAAAATACGGGTCTGAATTGCAAACTGAGAACAGTTGTATGGATTACAGATATACTCTTTAAATGACAAAGTCCTTGATTATATGCCACATTAATATTTGAGTTGACTTCTCTATTTCCTTCCAATACTTTTTTGAAGAGCATATATCATTGATCCTCTAGGTTTTACATAACATTTCAACTGAGATTGGCTCATTGTTTACTTCAATTTGCCAAGTGTAAGCTCCTCTTCAGGGGCCACACTTCCAATCTAACTATTCAGTAGTATACTTTTACTTTCTATTTCTCATGGGTAGTACTTATCCAGTTGAGGAAAATTTTCGTATTGCAGGAAAATTCTTACTAGTTTGACCCTGGCATATGGGCAAATGATTCTGAAGAGTGGTTTCTTCCATGCAGATCCTCATCCAGGAAATATATTGATCTGTAAAGGCTCAGAGGCAAGTCAGCTACTGGAATTTTCTATACAAGTTCCAAACTCATAGTAGTTTTTCGTTTTTCGCAAATCTTTCCTGCTTTCATCTTTCTCAGACTATATTTACTTTTCGAACTTCTAAGAAAAAATAAAAATTGGCATACGGAAGGTGATCAGGATTTCAGTAGTTGTTACATGGCTTTAGGATTGGCTAGCTTAACATTTTGACTTTTGATTTCCCTGTTTGAATCATGAATCGAGCTGAAACCATAGATTTTTTACTCCATTATCAGGTAGCATTGCTTGATTACGGGCAAGTGAAGGATCTTCCTGACACGTTGAGGCTTGGTTATGCTAAACTTGTTCTTGCTATTGCAGATGATGACACCACAGGAGTCGCAGAAAGCTTCAGGTAATAATAATAATAGTCCAGCTGGCCTATAGTGATAGTTGAGTCTTGTATTTCTGGAAAAGGAAGTAAACTTTGTTTGGAAGGAAGCTTCTTACGAAAGTTGGCTCTAAGGTCTAAAGTTGCGTTTTTGGTGTTCCTAAAGATTTCAACGTAGATAAGTGGTTTGGTGAAGTGAACCTTGAAAAGATTAATGAACTAACTAGTTCTTACTGCTTAGAAATACGAAGGAATTTCTTGTGGGCTTCTGAACATAAGGTAGTTTAAAGACAGGTTATCGAGATCCTGTTTCGGTTTGATACTGAAGAATTGATGGAAAGTTTGTCCTCTTTTAAGTAATGGGTCATCGTCATACTAATTCTTTTATTCATTCAATTGATCTACAGGGAGCTCGGTATAGATACTGTAAGCAATTGCAAAAATGTAAAAGAAGAACTATTTAAGTTGTCACAGGTAATGTTCGATACGAGGTTACCTCCTGGAAAGGTGTTGATGCAACCGTTCGAGGAGGACTCTTCGATAAAGAAAGTTGGTGTTCAGGTATAGTACAGGCTTTGCAAATTGATAGTCCTCTGTAGAGACACAAGTATTTGTATCAGTAACTAAAAAGACAAGTGTTTTTTCCTCCTGTTTTGCTTCTGTAGTCGTTTCCGGAAGAACTTTTTTCCATTCTTCGGACAATCCAAATCCTTAGAGGACTGAGTGTTGGACTTGGAATCAATTACTCGTGCACCAAACAATGGCGACCCATTGCAGAAGAAGCCTTGTTGGTTTCTGGTAGGCTAGAAGGTGATCCTCCTGAACTTTTTAATCTAAACCAAAAGTGACTCATCTGTTTGCTTCATGGTAGGATTGTTGAATGAATTTCATCACTTCATAATGACTGCATCTCATCCCCTGCTTGATCTCTTTCAGGTAGGAAGATTGATTCTACAACCCATAAACGTGGACTCTTAAAGAGATTGTTTTCGAGATCAAGCTGATTCGTTCGTGACAAGACAGGCGATGGATATGAATCAATCTGGACGCATCTGATCGATGACAGGTGCATTGAGAGCTTCAATATTCGTTTATGAAATAAATATTCAAATTCATCTTCTTCGTTGAGTGTCATTCTTTAACCACCACAAGCTCCTCCTCCATGATAGACTTTTCAAGCTGCTCCCATTTTGGTAGTTTATTCATTTATTTTTCTTTTTTATCTGAGGGATGAGTCATGATTTCCATGTTTATGAAATCCAAAGGTAGAGATTCAATTTATCATCTGATGTTGTTGTTCTTCACACAAGCCCATGACTGATTACTTCAAGTTGCAGTGCTCAATATGTTTGCCAAATCTGTGGGGAAATTACAGAGCTTGCAGCCTTTATATTTATATTTTACAGATAGCATATTAAGAATGAAAAGTTTGAAAATTTCAATTTCAACCTTATGGTATATGCTTTTGCTTTGCATTCCAAATGCCTTCAAAATGTTTTTTTTTTAATTAAAAAATTTAAGCTTGTTCAAAGACATCCCTCCGAGCTTATCTAGTCTTTCTCTCGGGCTCGAAGTTTACATTGTACTCCAAAAAAATAATAATAATAATTAAATAAAATTCACAATTTTGAATTTTTTAACGATTGTAGCAATGTTGAACTTATGATTAATTTAGGGCCTAGATCCTCTTTGTTGGATCGGATTCTATTATCCAAATAGTGGAAGTTTTGAAAACAACTTTTTTATTATTATTTTTTTTACTTCACTTTTTTATGTTTTTTTTTGGTATTTATAGATTTTGAATTTAAAACTTTAATGTATAATTATATTTAAAAATATAAAAACTGTAATATACACTATTTCATGTTATAAACTTTGTTAAAATTAAAATATTTAAAATATAATGTATTATAAATTATATAATATTGTAAAATACTAATTCTATCAAAATTTATAATATTTATGTTAATAAATTAATCAATAATATTTAGTAGGTAACTAATGACTCACAAAAATATTTATAAAATACTTTAATTTCTTTTTTATTTTATTTTTATTTAGATTCAATTTTCATCCAACGCTCATGAGAATATGGAACACAATTCTAACTTCACTAAATCCCTTGTTTTAAGATTTAAATGCATTCGTAGAAACTAACCCATCGTATGTAAATCGGTAGCTTATTCGTGACGGGTCTGGTTTGTCGGTTGTTGCTGTTGCAAGGTAATCCAGAACAAATGGCTTATCAAAGTGTTGGCTTGGAGTTGTTGTCTATAGTGGATGGGCCGTTAATATCTTGATTGGTAACGTCTGAAACCGGCCAAATTGGTAATAGATGGGCCAACATAAGCCCAAAACGAAATACGAGCCCAGTAAGCCCAACTGAGCCGAATAAAGAGTGTGGTGTAAGCTTCCCGCCCTTTCTTGATTCATTAGCGCGCCACTGAAATCCGAAATCTGAATCTGTTGAGCTGCTCCGCTCGTATCTCTGCGGCTACCGGGTTACTGATTCAGACGATGTTCGGGAGAATCAGATCGTCTTCTTCACTGGATTCCTTGGAGCGGCCGCCTTCCAAGATTCTTAAAGATGATTGTCTCTCCATCTATGGTTGCCTCTCTATCTTTATTACTATTTTTTTTTCCCTTTTTGCTCTATTCTAACTCTATGATCTACCGATTGTTCAATTTTTGCTACTTAAATCAAACCTGATAATATGTTTGGCTTCTTTCCCCTTCACGGAAATTACTTTTTGCCTCTAGATTTGAAAACTGTCTTGTTCTGGGGCCTTGTTGTTTAGTTTTTTTTTTTCGCCTTTCAGTTTTTCAGTGAATGAAAACTAACGTCTGTACTGCTTCCGCGGTGATGATAGAGTTGACTTGATTGATGGAAAGTGTAGGAGATCTAGTCGTAACGACGTTTGGAAATGTGATAATTAGACGTATTTGGTTATTAATATGGATAGGGAATCCGATGCAAGAACTTGAATGGGGTATTGTTACTTGGTATTAAGAATGATTCTTTAATTTGGTAAATAATGAAACTGCTCATGATATTGAAAAGTGAATTGGATTATTGTTCTTGTCTTTGTTAAAAGAGGACGGATGTGCTGTACCGGATTATGTATTTGAGGCTTGTTATTTTCCAGCTCATAGCTGATTTTTGCTGGAGAGTTCAATCAGGTTATGGCTTCAGAGTTCTTGGGGAGATTATTAGTTTTGCTTTTGTTAGGGAAGACAGAACTAAAATAATTTAGTCGGATAATGGTTTCATTTTTAAATTTTCATTTATGCTTGCTTCTCACAATTTTTTAAGTATGTTATTCACTCTTTTAAAAAATAAGTTTGAATTCCAATTTTAAAAATAATAATAAGTTTTCAAAAACTACTTTTTTTAGTTTTTAAAAATTGACTTAGATTTTGAAAACATTTAAATAAAGTAGATAACAAATCAAAGAAACACCCTTAATTCTTAATTCTTGGATAAGTTGTAAGCCATAGTGGGTGGGGTGTTGATTTTTACCATTGGTCCCATAGGTTTGACTGTTGTGACTTAGCTTCACTCTAATAGCATCTCTATCCCCGCTTTTTAGTTAATTAGATGCATTACCCTGCTAAGCTCATGCGAGAGTGAGTTTTCTTTCATAAAATTAGGAAGTCGGCCATGCGCAATAGATTCTGTAGTATTATTAGTTAGAACAGTTGGAATTATTAAGGATGTTAAGTTATAAGCGGGGGTAACTGTCGGTGCCTTGTTGGTACTAACAAAGTTCTCTTTGTTTACTTTGATAAGCTTTCAGATTTATCTTAGACATAAATGATATTGTTCACCTTCCTTTAAGTTAATCCACAGTTCCGAATCTGATGTTGAGCGTATCAGTAATGCTATAGCTTAGACCCCATTTGATTACCATTTTTATTTTTGATTTTCTATTTTTGAAAATTATGCTAATTACTATTTCATTTGTTCCTGTCTTGTTATCAACTATTTAAAAACGTTTTCAAAATCTGAGTGAAATTTTGAACAACAAAAGTAGTAGCTTTCAAAAACTTGTTTTTATTTTTAAAATTTAGCTCAAGATTCAAATGTGTCATTAGAAATGTGAAAGACCATAATAAAGATCAAAGTATTATCAAATGTAACCTCAATTAATTCAAGTTTTGGGTTTAAGACTTTTTATGAGATCAACGACAATCAGATAAAGTTCTTTGCAGTTCTCATTTAGTTCCTTCTTGCAGAGGCCACCCTCGTGAAGCTTAAACTCGGTTCTCAACGTGAATCAAGTCCACCCACCAAGGAAGACGCCTTGGAGGATGGAGAGACTGATACCAATTCAAGTTCATTGTCCGCTGAGGCGATGAAAACAGAGTGTTACAACAATCCTGCAAGTTTTCCCAAGGGTTCTCATGAGTTAGCCGACTCACCCAAAGAAGACTTGATGACTATAGATTCCGATTATTCGACTGCAAGTACTACTTCTACACCTGAAGCTTCTGAGGATTGTCAATCAACAGAATATTCACCCCAGCGTAGGATAAGAAGCTCTATTCTTTACCTATTCTCTAAATTTAAGAATCCTCCAGCAATTCAAACTATCATGGAGGAGATGAAGGCAGAAGACAATAACTATTGTGCAGCTATGTTGCCGAGTTCTAGTGCATCTCAGTCTACCAATAACATCGAGCTGCATTTGAAACAATAATCCATCGACTCTTCAACTGTGGTATCTGGAAAAAATTTACAACTTGGATGCATGATCAAACATTAGTCATTCCAGATTCAGTTCCCTCAGGCAATGAGTTTTAATTCTCCTGCTAAAATCATGTTGTATTTTTACGGCCATGGTGCAGAATGTAAGTGAAATGCATAATAATCATATCTGAACCTGAGCTAAATTATGGAGTGTTGATGATTTTTTAATCCACAACTGTTGTTACTTCACATCATCTTCATAGTTCATGGTGAAAATCACTGTGGAGGCTTGACAATCAAAATGGCTCTCCCCTTTTCCATTAAAGGTTCTGTGAGGAATTACAGGGCTCTGCAAAGGATGGCATCTTATTCTATAACTCAAAATTACAGACAAGAATAATCGCAATTCTTTCTGAGGACATTTGAGCTTCAAAAACCATCACTCTATCAGCCATGATGCAAGAGCTGGCTCCCACTCAACCAATTCGCCTTCTTTGAACCAGAGAGCTGCATAAACAGAAAGCCTAGGACTTGGAGCGACGTGAAAACATTGAAGAAAAAGCAAAATCTAATGAACTCTAAAAAATCCTTAATTCATTCAAAAAGGAATTGTTAATAAACTAATGGTGTAACATTATGTCAATCTCAAAACTTGATTGCTGCAGCCTCATAGAACTAGTCTAGATATGCAACAAAGGGTTTCCTAAAACATTGGAAATTGTTTCTAACTGATCACATGATTTCACGGAATCAGAGTTCCTAAATCCTTAAATGTGGATACTACTTATTGGTTATATATATAATCAAGAATGTTACTAGGGTCTTACCTATTTCACGCTTGCCGCTCTCAGGGCTATCACTCCCATGAATCACATTCCTGCCAAGATGTTCAAATAAGTTCTTTCTATTGTACATAACGATTGCATTTTAAAAATTACACCATGAATCAAAATTTCTAAGGTCTAACCTTCCTTTCTGAATAGAAAGATCCCCTCTAATTGTCCCTGGCTCGGCTTCGAGAGGGTTTGTAACACCAATTAACTTCCGTGCTGATGCCACAACACCAACACCCTCCCATGCCTTAATAACATGTGATTAACACAACGGGAAAAGGTAGTTATTTACTTGTTACAATAGGCCAAAATACAGCAGAAGACAGTTATGAGAAAGAAAACATACCATACACACAACAGGACCTGATGTTATGTACTCAATTAAACCAGGGAAAAAGGGTTTGCCTTTAAGATCCTTATAGTGTTCCTGTAATAATACAAGATTAGTTGAATAGAGCGTGTACAAAACCATGGTGGAGAAGATATAGAAAGGAGAATGTTAAATGAAAATCTTGAACGACCTATTAACATATGGAGTATTCTTTTAAGTTTCTTAAAAAGAAACAAAACAAAAATATAATACTTCCAATCTTTTGAGCTTATGCAAATAGGGTTAGATTAAGGCGAAAATCAAGTTCAGCAAAGAACTGCAAGAACATGGTGGAAAATGAACGCTGTTCAAGGACAAACCTCTGCCAAATCCTTGGAGCATTGGAAGAGCTTCAAGCCAGTAAGCTTAAACCCTTTCTTCTCAAACCGTGAAATTATCTCTCCAACCTAGAACAACAAAATCCCAATATAAAAACTCAGTTAAAGCAGAAAATTCCACAATGCTCGTCAATAAGCAGTTCTCCGCTATGATTACAGAGGAAATTGAGGATTTCTTCAACTCCCATTTCATGATTTTCCTGTTTAATTTGACATTATTCAGCACAATCGAGCTTCCATTCAAGAATTAAAACCTTAATAGCACAGGAGCAGAACAATGAACATTCAAGTACTCTGAATCGCAAAGCTTGACAGCAACCGCAGAGAAAAAGGGGGAAAACAGATTAACGGCTAAAATTTCAAGTTCTAAAGGAAAACTTACAAGGCCACGTTGAACACCGTCAGGTTTCACCATAATGTAAGTCTGGTCGACTCGCTCCTGCCCCACAAAAGACAAAATCGATTAATCTCAGAACAGGTCAATCGAAAACACGTCGAATCGAACGAACAAAGAGAAAGAAAAGTAGGCAAACCAGGGAGGCAACCAAATGGGGCAAAAAGATGTAGGATTCATTATCAATGGGAGCAGCACGATAACGAGTAGAAAGTTTAGAGAAAAGATGGGAATTCGAAGGGAATGCTGAAAGCTGGTCGCGGCGGCGGGCGCGCATGGCGGCACTACCGGAGTAGGTTAAGCTGCAGAAGCTTTTCACCGGCAGCCGGAGAAGCGGCGGAGCTCCTCTTCCGAACACGGCCACAGCATCCATCTCGCTCTTCTACCGTAAAGCCCAATCCGAAAAGGTAATGAAAAGGCAAAATTCTCCTTTCGCCGGCAGTCCCCACCCCTTTTCGTTCAGAAATTTAATATATAAAGTAAAATTTTAAAATTATGAAAATCTCAAGGATAAAATATCGATGTCTCTAAGAATTAAATAAATTAAAAAAAATTGTAAATATTTATTATTTCCAAATAAGTTTAAAATAATTAACTATTTAATAATATTTTATTGATATTTTTCATACTTTGCCATTTTTTTAGTATAACGAAAATGTCGATTCTACCCATATTAATATATAGAAATTTTGACGTATGAATAGATGTTTAATACCAAATACATTGGTATATTTCTATTTGACTTTTTTTTATCGCATTAAATAATAGAAATACCGTTTCATCTTTCTATGACACTTTACCACTAAAATGCTTTTCTTTTCCCTTTTCTTAATTTAATTCCATGTACTATCCGGAATTTAATAATTGGCCTATTTTTAGTTGGGTAAAATCGATCCTGTTGTTATAGAAATAAATAAAATTAATAAAGATATTAATTGTCATCTTATTTTATCTATTTTAGTTTATGTACTTTTGAATGGTTTCACCGTCGCCAAGAATGGCATAGTCGCAAAACTTCGTCGTGCCATACACCCTCTCAACAGCTATCCACACAAGCATATGATGTGTAAGTGTGAATAGAGGTCAAGAACGACAAAATCCGAAGGGTTGACCCTTCAGACGAAACCTCGGACTTCATTGGACTTATAGCATTGCCTGATGAGCTCACCGTTGAGGGTTGGCCAAGTTGGAAACTAAGTCGACGCGAAGAAGCCAACGAGATCGATGATAGAGTATATATATTTGAATATGTGAAGGAAGTGGAAAGCTCTTTTATGACTTTGATTTGCACATCGAACGCTTCAAGGAAAGCAGGAATGCTAGCTAGCTGCTCAAGGGGATTGAAGACCAAGGCAGGGCTCTTGTTGACAAAGAAGGTCTAAAAAAAAGGAAAATTAACACATTTGAAGGTACCTTCATTTTTTTTCCTATCTCATATTTTTCGATCAAAATGTCAACACAATACTACACTCAATATGTTTCTTGAAATGCAGTCATAATTTTATATTAAATAGCTTACTATGTGTAGAATTTATGTTGAAATTTAACAAAGAGAAACTAAAATGATTACTTTTTAAGAGTAAGGTGGACTAAAACGAACGTTTTAAAAATACATATAATAAAATGAATCAAAGTTAAAAGTAGAGGAATTAAAATGGACGTCTTGAAAATAAGAATTCAAAATAAACGAAAGTTGGAAGTACACGACCAAAATAATTATGTAATTTTTTAATATAATATGTGAGTTTAGAAACAAGTTTCTATATCCTGAGGATAATTCAATTGATTAATCTTCCATTAAAGAATTGTGAATTTGTGAATTTGAATCCCTATCTCGACATGTTAAAAAAAAAGTTACTATTCTTGTCATCATGATTTTGTAACTCTCTATTTCTTTTAATGGTATTCTAATTTGACATTTAATTTGTTTTTGGAAAAAATCCTTGTCTCATTAACATTGAACATTTTGGGGCAAAAAAGGAAAGCAAGAGCGAATCTCTAGTAATAATGACTAGAAATGAAAAGTGACAGTTCTCTTCTCATGGGAAAAGAAAGAGGCTTAAAACTAAAAGTGGAAAAAAGAGAAGCCAAATATATATATATATATATATATATATTTTCCTCTAGAATAAAAGAGAAGCCAAAGTTAATAGGTAAAATATGTTGGATTTTACGAATAAAATTATTTTTTAAAAAATAAACAACCTGAATTTTTTCATAAAATGATTAAATCTAAAACTTATTTTAAAGATTGATCTCAAAATCTTTTTTTTTTTTAAATATACCCAAACATCCCTACTAGACTTTGTTAATTTAATTTGGGAGCTTTTCACCTTCTATTTATTGTCATAGCATTAGTTCATCGAGTTATAACAACACTTGTTTGATACGACACCTTATGTGAGATGGACCATTTCTTTTAAAAATAATATAACATAATTTAAGAGGTCAAAATATATTTTATGAAAAAAAAAGTGTCCTTTGCCATGTGATAATATTAATATTATTATCGTTGAAGGGGATTACATCATCCATTGGTTTATGTCAAATAAAATAAACAGTTCAAATTTTCATAAAGATCGAATTGATTATGTAAATGATGTTGGTCGTGAATCTTCATTAAAGACGTTAATCTATAAATAATTATTTAAAGTCACTAACCTTTGTAAAAGCCAAACTGGTGTTTACGACACTTCGTGTCGCCTACCTTTAGTAGTTTTTAAGATAATACGCTGCAATTTACAAAGCGGTCATAATAATTTAAACAGCAATATCGAAGTAAATAGATACTCAACTGAAATTTCATATTTTGACGTAAAAATAATAATTACAAACCTATATAATATATGCTCGGAAGTAACAAATATTTCCAATAAAATATTAATATTAAAATTTGCTGCTTTCAGTACGTGGTGTTAAACTTGACCCATTTATTTTAACACATTTATTAATTTTAAAATTTTAAAATGATTTTCATCTAACCCAACATATATGTTTTAAAAAATATTTCTTCTAATTTGCACAATTTCCTTCTTTTGGCTGCCCACTTCTCCCACCCGTCATTGATTAATTCATTTTAGAAATGGTAAAAATGATATTATTATTATTATGATGTTTATAACTAAAAAGAAAAAACCTTGTAAGTAATTTTTTAAATAAATAAATTATTAAAAAAAATTCTCACGGGTAGGCCAACATCATGAAAAACTTTTAAGCAAACTTTTTTAAAATTAAGAAATCATTGTTTTTTAGACAAATAAAGAAAATTATTTAAAGTTTTCTCACTTAGCCAAGCTATATTAATATTCATGGAATTTCATTTCGAAACCAACATCAATTAATCATAAAAAATTAATTTCTAGATAGGTGACCATCATTGAATTTGAACCAATTTTCTCTAAATCTTTTTAATTTACCTTGATACATTTAGACAAACGAGTTAATTCATGATGGTTTATACTTTTTCAACTAATTGAGACATCAAGTAACATCACGAGAGATTGGAGATTTAAATGATCTCGACCCACCCATGGTTGATCAACTCGAAAAGAAAAAAATGTAAAATTAAAATTTTGAAATATTAATTATTAAAACTTAAAATATATATTTTACAGACTAAATTATACATAAAGCCTTTAAAATATTAAAAAGTTATTCCAAATCCATTGAATGTAAGCAAACTTCATAACTTTGACTTGGAAACAAAATGAATAAATATGTACTGAAAAAAGACCATCTTAATATTTCATAAGCAAATGAATAATTTTAATGGCCATGATTAATTTAGTCAAATAATTTATCAAAATCCATTTATAAAAGGAATAAATTCACATATCATCTATTAATTGAATTAATTTTTTTATTATGAATTCAACCGTTTAATGTATAAAGTGAATAGTTTAAAAATTTTTGAAACGAAATGCCTTTTATCTACAATAATAATAAGAATAACAAACTTATTTTTTTATTAATTTAAACGAAATCATAAGTAATAGATTAAATCAATCATAGTTGAATAAATAAAATTTGAAGCAATTGGTCAAATTCAATTCAAAATGACGACTAAATATTTTTTTTAATTAAAATTTGACCAGTCAAAGTTAGATATATATTAAAGTATTAATAAAAAATAATTTACAAATTTGTATATAGTTTGGTTGGTGTAGTTTTAAAAGATTTCAATTTACTCCGTATGGTTTGGGCCATTTAATTTTAATTTTATCCCTATAATTTAGATTAGAATTATAGTTTCAATTTAGTGTCTGAAGTTTCAATTTAGTATTATGATTTAGCCAAACTTCACAAATTGTCCCTACCCTTATCATATTCATATATATTCTTTTTTTTTTTCACTTAGTTCTAAGTAGTGTATCAAGATTTAGGGCTACATAAGAAATAAAATGAAAAAGATATTAAGTTTCCCGGTTCAAATCATTCCCGCTAGTCTACTTATACTTTTATCAATTTCTTTATCCGTGAAAATTTATTTAATTCTTACTTGTCGCGAAAATCTTTGTTTATTTTTTATTACACTCAAAAGATCTGTACAATGAAGAAAGTTATCATAACAATTTACGTACCAATCATCTTCTTGTTAAAATCTTTGTCGCAATCCCCCAATAGTTCTTAAATCATACCACCAACGTGTCGTATAAACATTAAATAACATAAATCACCTATTAGGGACAAAATAAAGAAAAAATTAGAAACTTTATTAAGAACTCTCTAAGATGATAACAAGGACTAGAGAACAATACTTAGTGTTACCGGTGAGCAAAAAGTAATTAAGGGTTGACCACCTGCATATTTTTCGAGACTAAATATAAACACTAGTTTGAACTTGAATTAAATGTTACTTTTTTTTAATAACAACAAATTAAAAACAAAATTAGCTCAAAATTTTAAATCATATATACTTTTGGGAGAAGTACCAAGCATCCTGACATAGAAGCAACGACATAAATTATTAAACAATAAAACAACAATAATTTCGTATAAACTATAGAAGAAAAAAAAAAGATTTCATTCAAATTTCAAACCATATAGCAATAGACTTGGTAAACAGCTTTAATTTCCGGCCATCTTAATTATTTAAAAACAAATTAATTAATAAACTAAAAGCGCCCTCTTCAGACAGCAACTTCCGGCCATTATATATAAACCCCATGCCCGCTCTTCTTCCTTCAACAGTCTCTCAGTCCCAATCTCATAGCCAAATTACCAAAAACCCCTTAAAAAGCAATGGAATTGAAGGTTGAAATAATCTCTACAGAGTCCATAAAGCCCTCTTCTCCGACTCCGCCGGAACAAAGAGAGCTCAAACTTTCACTATTGGACCAAGTTGCCCCCGGCAGCTACACTCCGCTGCTGTTCTTCTATCCGGCCGGCCAGCTCGACCGCGGCGACCACGGCGGGAGGTGCCGGAAGTTGAAGGAGTCGCTGGCGGAGACGTTGACTCGGTTCTATCTTCTGGCGGGGACTCTGGTGGAGGCTTACTTGGTGGAGTGTAATGATGAGGGCGTGGAGTTTTCGGAAGCCAGAGTGGCGTGCCAGCTGGCGGATGTCATGGACAAACCGGATGACGTGGCGGCTTTGCACCGGCTGCTGCCGTTTGACCCGGACGCGGTTCTTGACAGGGATTGCATCTTGGCCGTCCGATATAATGCGTTTGACTGCGGCGGCGTTGTGATTGCTCTCTGTGTGACTCATAAGATCGTCGACGGCACCTCCGCCACCACCTTCACCAAGGCTTGGGCCGCCGCTTGCCGTGGAGACCACGGTCAGTACCGTTAAACTGTTAAAATTTCCTCGCCCTTTTTTAACTAAAGAAAATGGTGTTGAATTTATAGGTTTGTGATTAATTTCGTCTCAATACTTAAAAGAACTTTAATAGGTTTTTTGAGTTTAGTTATGCTTTCATAAAATAATTTAATATGTCAAAAAAGTTTAAATCTATATATAAATTAACTGGTTAAAGTATTATTTTCGATCTTTTCTATTATTACATGTTGTATTAAAAAAATAAAAATCTAAGTTAAAGCGAGCATAGTTCAGTGGTAATTGACATATATCTTGGTTGTGAGTTCGAATCCCCCTCCTAACATGTTGTACTAAGAAAAAAATAAAAAATAAAAATCTAACCGTAACACAAAATTGAAAAGGAAAGAATTGGTTAGAAACTTTTTAAATTTAGGGATTAAATAGACATGCAACTTAAAAAGTAAAGACTTATTATAAATAATCTTTTTATAATATATACAAAAGTTGATAAACTAAAACTTATATTAACCCTACCCTTATTTATTCATATTCACCCTCTCTCCACAAGTTTGATTTGATTAAATCATTTTTAAATCTAAAAATTTAAGTCAATAAATTATGGTATGTTTAATTATAAGACAATTACATAAAAATATAAAATAAACATGTATGTAGAGATTATAACTCACGAACTTCTATAGTATATATATGCTTCAATTCATTAATTATATGTTGATATTGGATAATAAATTAATATGTATTTTTAAATATGGCAAGAGATTTAAAATTTTATCCAACTTAATCCCATCATAGTTAAAAAAAAAAAGTAAAATACTTCTCCTTCTCGAGGACGAAGTCTYGTAAATTCACAACTCATTAAGATTTTTTTAAAAAAATAAATTGTTTCTGAATCTCTCCAAGCCGTGAGGAAAAGAAAAGTGAAAATTTGTGTTTAATAAATTTGTGGACATTTTCTGAACAGAGCTCACGGTGGTGCCGACCTTCGACGCGGCGGAGCTGTTCCCCCCAATGGAGATCCGCGGCGGCAACAAACGCCAATCTCGAATGGACAAAATCGTGACAAAAAGATTCATATTCTCCAAATCCAACATCGCCGCCTTAAAACAAGAAGCAAACTCCGACGCCTTCCTCAACCAACGCCCCCCCTCCCGCGTAGAAACCGTCTCCGCCTTCATCTGGAAGCGCTTCATGGCCCTCGCCCGCTCCAAACCCACCACCACCGCCGCCAAGCGCTTCGCCATCCTCCACGCCGTCAACATCCGCAACCGGCTGTCCCCGCCGCTGCCGCCGCACTCCTTCGGCAACCTCTGGTGGTTCGCCGTCGCGGAGGCCCCAATCGAGGAGGAAAAGGACTATCCATTCCTCGTCAGCAAGATCCGGAACGCGATCACCGAAATCGACGGCGAGTACGTGACGGCGCTGCAGGACGCGGAGAAAGCGATGCGGGCCAAGATGAAGATGGGCCAGATGGTTTACTCCGGCGAGGTGGAGCTGTACAGCTTCACCAGCTGGTGCAGTTTTCCGATCTACGAATCGGACTTCGGGTGGGGACGGCCGGCGTGGGTCTGCAGCCCCGGGCGGCCATACAAGAACGTGGTGCTGCTTGTTAACACCGGCGACGGCGAGGGGATCGAGGCGTGGGTCAATTTGGAGGAAAAAGATATGCCGGTGTTTGAATCTGATCCGGAGCTTCTCGCCTTTACTTCGTCCTCCTCGTGATGATTATGTTATTAATATTTAATTTTGGTGATGGTAATGTTTGAGATTATTTTTTTGTGGTTTTGTTATTGTATTGGATGCAATTGAAGGTGTGTCATGTTGTAATGACTAATGAGATGAAATAAAGATATAATGTGTTCTGTTTTAAATGAAAATACTTTGGTCAACTGGTTTTTATTTTAAATATATTTTCTAATGCATCTCTAAATTGTTTTTTACTATAAAATACTCAAAAGAAATTGGACGGTCTCAGAAGGAATATAATGAAATTCTTTGATTGGTTCTTTCACGAGCAATGTTCAATTTTATTTAATTTGACCGATAAGGACAACAAACAATAATAGCAAATATCAAAGTCTCAAAATTTCTTGGCACTGAATGTAGTGAGATCTAGAAATATTTTTTTGATAAACCTACGTGAAAACCTTCTTTGGATTTGCCGAAGCTATATATTTATATAAAATATGAAAAATTCATTAATATTTGAAAATATATCATATTTACAATTATTAAATATTTGACAACTAAAAAGGTGAAATGGAAAAATAAAGACTTTTTCATAATTTGTTGGATGAGGAGAAGTCTTTTTTCTTTTTAACTTCAACAATGGTGGTGAGAGATTCAAAGTGACCACTTAGTTGGGGAGGTTAATTACTGCTGGATGTGCCTTTGTTTTTATTATTATTATTATTTTACTACAAAAATTTGGAACGTGCCTTTGTTAGATTTTTATGAGAGAAAAATAATGGAAGGATAGAGACAAATGAAGTTTTTGAGGGGGAGAGAAATATTTGAGAAAATTGAAAAGTGCAGAAAAAGAATAGATTTTATAGAACTACTTAATTAAAAAAAATTTAGTACATTAAAAAGGAGGATTTTAAAATGGTAAGTACTAAATTGAAAATAATTGCTCGACACATTATGGGCTATATTTAGCATAAAGAATATATCTTACACGGAAACTGATCCATTATAACTATATCCTAAATCGTACTAAAAATATATAATAATAATAATAATTATTATTATTATTATACTCCTAAATCAGATAGGACTAGAAGGAAACTACCACGGCGGCGATTAAAGTCTATACTCAGAATTAGCTACCGAAATCTGCCTCGGACGACCGGCGGCGGGCGGCCGTCGTCTTTAGCCGGCGACGGGGCCAAAACTGGGGGAAAAAGCAATGCAGGCAAGCAAGAGCATGGCGGAAGAGGCGCCGTCTTCTTCAACATTGGAGCTGCTTCTCTTGAACTTCGGAAACTTCGCTTTATTACACTGGATTTGCTTTGCCACCGCCGTCGCCGCCGCCGCTGCCGCCGGCTGCAGCGGCTGAATTTGCTTCACTTTGGACACCATTTTTTCCCTTTTCTCTAACGCTTAATCCCTAAAACAGATCGAATCGAAAGGGGAAGATTTATTTGTGTTGTGGGGAACATCCCTACAAAGCGCCTCCTTATATAGTGTCCTGGAAGGACGAAAATGCCCCCACCCAGTTACTTTCTTATCCCTTTGAAATAATATTATAATTATTTGAGTAAATAATTTCGAAATATACTCGGATCAGTTTTATTTTTTATTTTATAATGTTTTCTTGGACAGTGTTTGGACTAGATACATTTATTCTACAGAAATTGCAGAGTATGGGCCCTTATAACTTCCTGGCTTCTAATTCTTCATCTGAACAAACAGTGACTAAATTGTCCCCTAACCAATAAAATTATTTAACGTAGCTGTCACAGCATGATCGAAATTTTTTTAAGAATTGTATGTGTTACGGTAAGTCATATTGATATTGGATATTTTAAGCGTTGGGTATGAAATGAGGTTTCTTAGGCATCACTTTAGATTTAAATATATATGATTTTACTTATTTTAGCTAAAAGATTTTATACTTTTTTTAAGCAAAAGAACGATGATCAGCGAGAATTCTATAAATCTTCAACGGACCTTCTTCTAATTACACACGATCCAAATGCCGGTGAAGTGTCAAATGAGCCGTGTCATTTCCTTCACGAAGAGTGGAGTTAAAACAAACCGAATTGAAATGAGTATATCAATGTATATACTATTTGTTACTTATAAATAGATATTAAACTATATGTTTCTTTTTTATTTTATAAAAATATTAACTCAGATCTTACCAATCAAAAATGAGTTTTTCTTAGTACAGCAATTTTGGGATAGGAGAGATCAAACTTCTAATCTCAAGAGGAAGAGGAATAGTATATGTCAATTACGGCTTAGTTAGTTGTCTAAATTTTAAATTTTTTAATTTTTTTGTGGAAAAGAAAGCTCCTTCACATGCTAGCTTTTATTAACTAAACAGAAAAGAAAATGGTAGCAATAAGTCCAAATTCCAAAAAAAAGAGGCAAAAATTATTACTCTTTTGGCTAGCTAAACTTATATAGAATATATTTAGATATATTGTTCCAAGTTTCCAACCGCCGTATCTTTGAACCATAGATTGAACTTCCTTTGGAAAATATATAATATTTGTGAAGTGATTAAATATATAATAAAACAACCACAACCATTCCATTAATGTCTTCCATGAAAAGACTAAGTAAATATAAATATCATAAAATAGGAGCTTTGGATTCTCCCTTTTTGAGTAGGGCGTTGGGTAGCAAATTAGCCATGTATATTCCGTAACATGAGCTGGGTTTTTTTTAAAAATTAATCTAGCTATAATTGTCACATTAATTAAATGAAATTACAGTACATTTTATAGGAATAGGAAGTATAAAAGGCGTAATATTGAGCACAGCATGTATTTTAGATTAAAAAATCTTGTAATCGTACTTACACTTCATCATGTTGTTGTACTAAAAAAATAAGATAGAAAGATCAATTTGAATGTATTCAAGATGCTTGTTGGGTCCCTTATCTTATCAATGTGGGATCCTTAATATGCCCCTCAATATCGTAGCTCTTTTGGCTCATCGAAGATCCTATTTTTGGACTGGATACTCGTTTGAGTTTCTTGGACTCTGATACCATATCAATATTCATAGGGTTTCATCTCAAAACCAATTGATAATGAGAGGAGCAGCACACTTACACCCATTAGTCCCTTATCTCTTATCAATGTGAGATCTTTAAGAGAGAGCATTCTGTCCAATTTGAAGTTTGATGGTTTTTTTTTTTTCCATAAAGTACCTTTGTTACCATCTTAAAACCAAAAGAAAGGAAAAAAAAAAAACTTGATGTTATTAGGGTTTGGAGAGGATATGATGATGGAGAATTTGTCATGTTGTATTGAAGAGAGAGATTGTTCATGTGCAACACCCATGTGATCATGTGTTCTTGTTCCTCTTGTCCTCTTCTCTTTGTAGCATGTTGTCTCACTATACTCCTCTCTCTCTTAGTTTACTTTTCTCTCTTTCATTTTGAGTCAAGATGCATGTATGCATTGAAGTGAAAGCTTAGGATCAGGTATTTTCAATTTTGAGAATGTGTTTGATTGGGATGACCTTATAATTAATTCTTAAAAAAATTAGATGGAGAGGTTGAAACTCAAAATATATACTTTAAATTAGTATCCAATTACCGTCAATTACCGTCAGTAATTGTGTTATTGTAAAAACCTTCCAAGAGAGTTTTTTTATAGGTGAATTTAGTACGACTTGTGTCGTTGAATCATGAATAATATCTTTTGAAAATCATACTTAAACATCATTAAAATTTTGGAAATAGAAATATTTATTTAATAGTTAATTCAAAGTATTTTCTACTCATTTAAAAGTTTACTAAACATATTACACATTCTAATACTAATTTAAACTATTGGTAGATCAACAAACTATGCTTTTTAAATGCTAAATCATATGTGTTCTTTTTGGCCTTGTTTAATTAGGTGTTGCACCATCTCTTTAAAAAAATATATTTACTTTGTTTTTTAATCTTTCAAAATAAAAAATAAATAAATTAAGAAGCTATCATTAATTAGTTAACATCTTCTCTATAATATATTTAAAAATAAATGATTTTGCACATTAATTTATGAGCTAATCATATGATTTCAAACAATAAAACCATTTGGCTTTCTTTTCAAAAATCAAATCAACCCATGAATCTCATTTCTAAAAGATGGGGGTATTGTATGTATCAACTCATGAAAAGACCTATTGCATGTGATTTTTGAATAGCCCGATCTCACCCTATTAGGCCACACATTCATAATTATAACAATATTTAGGCGTTATCAACATCCAACCATCAATAAAAATTTGATAGCTTTTTAGTTTTTTGAAAAATAGAATTTTTTTATGCATTTCTTTTTCTACTTGTCAAAAATTTAATGGTGGTTAACAACGGATGAGTGCTGACATATAAAACACCTAAATATTTTTCCTTTAATTATAGAAGTTAAAGTAACCTATCTTTTTTTTCTTCGAGTACATCAAATAATGGTGTGAGGACTTAAACATTTAACCTTAAGAAGAGTAATATGTGTGCTTTATCCACTTGTCTATAATGCCTTGGAAGAAAAAAAAACTCATTCTTAAGTAAAATTGTTCATGCCCAACATTTAGACATTTCTTCAACATTTCTATAGTATTTTGAAAACAATATTCTTCCCTAATAATATTAATGTCGTCAAAATCCTTCAATCTATACAAAATATTAGCAAACATGTCGAACAAATTACTCCTTAAAAGAAGCTGAAGACCCAAAAACTATATGCAAATTAATGTCTACATCTTAGAGGAAAGAACGACCAAGAGTTATAACATCAAAGGGCCAATAAGAGAAGTGTGGTGATTGGTAATAATTGTAATGGACAATGAACTTTAAGGAGAGTACATGAACCCATAATTCTCAACATCAAGGGGCCATTGCTTTAGAAAATGGGATGTTCGCCATTTTCACTACACAAAATTTTGGTTGGTTCTCAATGTCTTTGTTCTCTCATCTCACTTCATTATCAGATTTTTAGTTTAATTGAATTTTGACCGTGAATCGAAACATAACTCAACCAATTAAGATATTTATCTCCGTCCAAAAGATTGTGAGTTCGAATCAACACTCCTGCCTACCGTAGTGAGAAAATAGACAATTTTACCCTTAGGTATTTTGTTTGTTTGGTGTATTTTGTCAAATTATCAATATGTTAAAAATTGGTGTTTGTTTTTATTATACAGTCTGGATCTTTGTCTTGGAATCTACCGAAGATTCTTGGGTTTCAGTTCCATTATTGACTTAATTAATTAATTATGAGCCGAATTAATACTCTTCAAAAAGATTCTTTGAATTCATTCTAAAATACAGCTAGCCTATTTTATATTGCTTCAAATATAATTCAAGGTTAGCTCATTATTGTTTATTATTTCCATGAGTTTAGGCGCATTTGGTGCTATTATTTTCAACATGAAATAAATATGTATTTTTCTTATAAAGTTTGAAACTTTATAAATATCACATAATCGAAATCAAACTCCAGTGCAATATAAAGTTTACTGTATATGAAAAAGGGGAAGAAAAAAAAAAGGAAATTTGTGACATTTTTTGAAATTTTGAATATGTTATGTAGTGAAATTTCTCTTTTTAGTTTTATGCTATTTAAAAATAAACTTGTTTACTTCTATATACTACTTTTACTCGTATGTTTTAAAATCCTTGTTAAATTTTCAAAGTTAAAAAGAGAGTTTCTAAAAATGTGAGTTTGTTCTTTAAATTTGACTTAGAATTTGAGAGTGTTGTTGAAGAGGTTTTAAAAAATTTGTGGATAAATAGGCTTGATTATTTAAAATATTTAATGAAAAATGAAATGGTTGGGGCCTTAACAACAAGTCCGTTTACTTACAACTCTGGGCCTCAGATTCCAGCCCATGTTCGTCACTGAAACCCGAGGTTTTAATGGGCCGAGGAAGTCCATTTACTTACAACTATGGGCCTTCAGCCCAAGACATTTACTCGTTGCTTCTTTTTTTTTTAATACATCCGGGAGATCAAACTCACATCGTTGGAGATATATGTCAACTACCGCTAAGCTATGTACGTTTTGACAAATATTTACTCGTCACTACCATAAAAAATTCCGATTTTCAAATAGCATTGAACAACAACTATATGAAACTTGTCCCTACGACAACAAATTATGATACAGGTAAATAAGACATATTTTCCAAAATTCCAATATGTTCCAACTGTACTTTGTTGTCAAACTTTGAAACATCTAAAACTAAAGTCTTGATCTGATCTTCATTTTCCACGGAAAATGTGAAGTGGGGTACCATTCCTCGATTCTATATTGTTAAATATCATATATAAATTAAATTTACTCAATCCATCAATTTATTCATAATTTAATTGTTTTATTTGAAACTCTGTGGTCTTTCTTTGGCGGCGGGTGGAGTTTGAATAAATTAACAGTCAAATATGAGGAATTAGTTGTTGCCTCTCGTGGATAGTTCTGGTTTTTGTGTGTAAATTTTAATGCATGTAGTGTATGTATAAATCAAGGCTACAGATTTGTCCTTTGAGATCCTTACATGAATAACATCATCTATTTTTTAATATAGTAGTCTCGCCACAGTTCCTGATGAGAAAATACATCATATTTTATAGAAATCTTCCAACCTCATCATTAATGCCACCTCGTACAAAATATATTTTATTTTTTTATTATAGTCGTGACTGTCCGAGCTAGCTTGTATGTATTTCGACTAATCTAATGAGACAACTGTTTATCCCCACAGCATTTGAGGTCGGAAAATACATAGGAATTTATTCATAAGGTAGGTGACCATCATGAGTTGAACCCCACATAAACTACATTTTTAATGTTTGATTTCGTTTGTACTAACTTTGAATTTCTATTACCTATACTTTAAACCAGTAATTCTTTTAAAAGTATTGGTCGAAAAAATGTTTTGATTTTTTTTTTTTAAAAGTACTTTTTTTAACAGCCATTATGATAGTATTTCGTTTTCATTTTAACATGTTGATATTTTCATATATGGATTTGCATCGACATATCTATAGTATTACAAAATAATTGACAAAATATCATTAGTATGAACATATTATTAATATCTACTTATTTGTTAATTCAAATATTTGTTAGAATTCTTTTTTGTTTTTAAATATCTATCTATATTTTATTGATTTTATTGACATTTCTCGATATTTAAAGTTTCCATTTTTCCAAAAGACTATTAAACATTTGAAAATAGATTAGAGAAAACACAAATTGGATTCTCTTTATTCTACTGGTATCATATTCTGCTTACAAATAGCACAATTTCTTTTTCTAAATAAATAGCACAAATTATATGCCCCCAAGTTTTTTTAGTGGAATATGCCCCTAAATTATATAAATATATATATTTTAAAAAAAAAACCATTGGACCGCCATTTACAGATGCTTACGAATCAGCTGGCGACATCCACAGCATATGGTCAAAAATAAAAAATAAAATCTAAAATACCTTCCAAAATTAACATAAAATGATTTTTTTTCTTTGAAAAAAACAGATACTATATTTGTCATAACCTAAATTATGTTATAAAAAAAAAAAGAGAAAAAAGTCAACCCTAAATTAGAAATAGAGGGCTGCATGTTCGGTGCTCTTCTGTTACTTTGAAAAAGACATCTGGCTAGTGGCTACCCAATATTAACTTCTTTTTTTTTTCCAATTACAATTTAAATTATTTTCAACCACGTTTAAACGTTTACCACGTCATCTGTGACAATATCAACGAATCACTATTTCGTTTTTTTCGTACAACACAATATTTTGAACGTTTAAATATCAAAATAGACATTTTAAATGTAGATAGTAAAAAAGGATAAAACAAATATCAAAATAGACATTTTAAATGTAGATAGTAAAAAAGGATAAAACCAGAGTTATACGAACAAAAATATTATTTAAACAATTTATTTTTTACATTATTTTTTTTGAATATTTAAAAAGCTCCCGGTTCCCGGTTCCGGTTGACACGAGGCCCCCATTAAGAAGTTGGTGTATCTACTGTATATAATTTTCCTTTGCGAAAAAAAAAAGGTTATATAATTAATGTAAAATATAAAAGTTTACTTCTTATTGTTTATTTTAAATGTGGCTTTATTTATTTATTAGAGGAGTGCCATGTGACGCCAGCAAGAAAAATTTCTGAAATATATACTTTTTCCATTTGTGTATATATATATATATATATATAATATTCAGTGTATCAGTGTAAGTCATAATCATGAATAACGAAGAATTTTGCTTAAGAAAAAAAAAAAGAATAACGAAGAATTAATGCTATTGAATTGGGAAAACTGTTTGACATTTTTTAGTACAAGAAGAAGAAATTTGGGTTTCTTTTAAAAGTATTTATATATAAGAAATTTGGGTTTCTTTAAAAGTATTTATATATAAGGAAGAGTCAACTAGCAATTAGTCATGACATGTTTTGTATTTTTATTGTGTTAAAATACAAAAAAATAAATGCAGAAAAAATAATATAAATATTTTTCAAAAGTTGAAAGACTTGAATAAATAGGTTAAAACTTTATAAATTAAAATAGAATAAAAACTAGAACAAGATTTTTAAATGAAAGGAAAAATTGGAAAAACCACGCCTCTAGACTATAGAGATTGTTACAATCATATATTTAAACTTTCAATTTGATCAATTGCCCTACAAATTATGGAGATTGTTGTAATTAAATATTTAAATATTGCAAAATGCACCCATAAATTACACTATAATCAAGGTCACGAAATATAGATTATTACAATCAAATCCAAATTGTGTACTCTTTCTTGTCAATTAAATCATAGCTTAACTTGTTATGACATATATTTTTGACCAATAAATCGTGAGTTCGAATCAATCTTTTTGTATAGATCCGAGTTCGAATCTTATATAGTACAAAAACAACATATTTAGGACGATGATGAATTTTTCTATAATTGATTGGGCCTGGGAAAAGGGCCATTCATTTTAGAACTCTGGGCCGGAGGCCCACAAGACACATGAGACAGTGAGTGATGATGAAGCTGCTCACGATCACGGAAACTCTGCCTGCTTTACCTAAAATTCTAGCGCACTTTTCAACGATCACCGATTCAGCAGCACGGACCATAGATTTATCGCCTCAATACCACCGGCAATTCCGGTTTCCTGTCTCCTTTCTGCTTTGAATTTAAACCCCCACGCCCCCATTCCACAGCTCATATTCAGTATTCGCCTCTTCAGTACTCTTTTTCTCTCTCGAAGTTTCAGACCATCTCTTAACTTTTTCTCCAATCCAATGGGTGGTATACGCCTTGTTCTTCTAAATTTCTTTTGAGTTTTGGATTTCTTATGTTCCGTTTTAAGTTTCGTTTGGATGATTGACCGTGTTTGTTGTCTTGACTGACTGATCTCTCTCTCTGTTTTTTTTTTTTAATCGTTGGATTCTGCGTTGATTTGCAGCCAAGATCAAGATCGGAATCAATGGTACTACTACTAGCTCGATTCATTTCTTTAGAACTTGTTTGAACTGATTTCAAGGTGTGTGACCTGATCAGTATTCTTTCATGTTTTGTGTTTGTCTGATGTGGAAATGAAAAACCAGGATTTGGAAGGATCGGGAGGTTGGTCGCTAGAGTTGCTCTACAGAGAGACGATGTGGAACTCGTTGCCGTTAACGATCCTTTTATCACAACTGATTACATGGTATTGTGAATTTCTGCACGTTTAGTTTTTCTTTGTTTTGTGATCGATCTCGGGAAAATAGTGAAGTTGTTGTATGAACTGCTTCTCGTTCTTATTTTAGTGGATTTTGAATGGTTTTTCCGTTTGTTTGGTGGAGCAGACCTACATGTTCAAGTACGACAGTGTTCACGGCCAGTGGAAGCATGGCGACGTGAAGGTGAAGGACTCTAAGAGCCTTCTTTTTGATGAGAAGGCCGTCACTGTTTTTGGATTCAGGTATCGTAATCTGTCAGTTTCAAATCGTTAATTTTCTTTGATATTAGAGATCTTTTGCAACCGATTGAGTGTTGAATAAATTATGATTTTAGAAACCCAGAGGAGATCCCATGGGCCGAGACCGGAGCCGAATACATTGTTGAGTCCACTGGTGTTTTCACAGACAAAGACAAGGCTGCTGCTCATTTGAAGGTTTGGCGTTTCCTCTGTCCCTTTTTTCCCCCACTGTTATCTATTTTTGGTTGAGAAACGTTGTTTCAGTTCTAATGCTTTCTTCAGAAGTAGTCAGCTCTTTAATTTTTCATAGATCCTAACGTCTATCTTACAAGACGAGGTGGTTTTCTTCTGTCATCACTTCTATTGATGTTAATTTAAGAACGTTATGTTAGATCTCTTCTAGGTTATCTTTTATCATTTTTTATGCTTTCTAATGTTCCGTCAGTGTCATTTAACGTTTTTGGGATTAACAATACAATGGTTAGCTAAAATTTCAATATTAGCATATATCAATCCTATCCTTTGTTCATCTTAGCTAATATTTGTCTTAATAACTGATGCAGGGTGGTGCTAAGAAGGTTATCATCTCTGCCCCCAGCAAGGATGCCCCCATGTTTGTTGTAGGAGTCAATGAGAAGGAATACAAGCCAGAGCTTAACATTATTTCTAATGCTAGCTGCACCACCAACTGCCTTGCTCCTCTCGCCAAGGTTTGTGACTGTTAATCCCTGTCGTAATTCCCGTTATTAATAGTCCTTAACATTGTAAATTAACTTCTTACGAAAATTTTCAGGTTATCCACGACAGATTTGGAATTGTTGAGGGTCTGATGACTACTGTTCACTCAATCACTGGTGAGTCTCTGGATGATTTAGACTATTTGTATTGAGGGTCTTTCTTAATATACTCAATATTGTTTGTTTCTAACTGACGCTTTTGTTTGCAGCCACACAAAAAACTGTTGACGGGCCATCTAGCAAAGACTGGAGAGGTGGAAGAGCTGCTTCATTTAACATCATTCCTAGCAGCACTGGAGCTGCTAAGGTATTGAATCTTATACTCTAGTGCACGCCATCTGATATTTATCTTGCCTCTTGTTGCTTTAGGCATAACTAAGGTCCTTCCCTATCTGTTTCTATTTAGGCCGTTGGCAAAGTGCTCCCTGCACTGAATGGAAAATTGACCGGAATGTCTTTCCGTGTTCCTACCGTCGATGTCTCTGTCGTCGATCTTACAGTGAGGTTGGAAAAGAAGGCTTCTTATGAGGATATTAAGGCAGCCATCAAGTAAGGATATAATGTTGTCTGAATATACTTGCTAAAAACTGCCCTGGTTATTCAACTCCTGGGATATCATATAATATAACTACCGAGTGATTGTAAATTCGTTCTTTGTGGTTCTTAGGGAAGAGTCGGAGGGAAAATTAAAGGGAATTTTGGGCTACACTGAAGACGATGTTGTGTCCTCTGACTTCGTTGGTGACACCAGGTTTGGATTCACATCCTTAACTGTTCTTATTCTTTGGTGTTGCTTCTAATTCGTTATCATCCGTATCTAATGTTATGCAACTATAACAGGTCAAGCATCTTCGATGCCAAGGCTGGAATTGCATTGAACGACAACTTTGTGAAGATTGTCTCGTGGTACGACAATGAATTAGGATACAGGTAACAATCTTTCAACCGAAATCTCTATTTTCTGGCATACCCACAACTTTTGATGTATGTCTCATGACGAACCCCAACTTTTTTTGTTTTTTTGTTTCTTTTTGCAGTTCTCGTGTTATCGACTTGATTGTCCATGTTGCATCTACCCAGTAAGATGACTTGGCTTGATGATAGAGGGTTTCAGCTTCCATGGTTTGTTTTTGTTGCTTGTTTCCAGTACTAGAGACTCAGCGCTGAGTGAGAATATGATGAAATAAAATAAGAGTTTTCAAGCCAGCCGGTGATTTCTTTCAAGTTCTTAAGTTGTACTGCTGTCTGTTCTTTTTTGTTGTGATTATGAGGTGTGGATTCTTCACCCCCTTGTGTGTAATGTTTTTGATGTAGCAAGCAAAAACTCCAAACTCGAAATAGATTATGCTTTTTCCAACCTTCCATCTTCTCTCTTTTCTTTGGCCTTTGTTCAAGTTTCATCTATTTCTTTTAATACAACAAAAACGTACACAAATATGGGACATGACTGATATAGTTGGATTGGTTAAAGCGGACGTTCGAATCTCCACTTTTATGTGTTAAACTCAATCTTAATATCAATGTCATATTTTCATAGCCTACGTCATTATGCCCATAATTTTTATAAATTTATTGAATATCACAAAATTGTGGAATATCTAGAGCCACAGCCACTACATCACTATCAGTCGCTGCCATAGCCCTTAGCCTGCAATTTTCTTTGAGGGGAATCGGAGACCCTCTCGAATTCAAAAACTACGCTACATTACAACCAAGCATTTGAAGGTGGACATTGACCCACCACTTTCAGACCTTAATTATTTTGCCCACTTTCCAAGGCTCGCCATTTCAACTACCTCTACGGGACCATACATTACCGTTCCGTTTTGTGCCAGTTATCCCCTTATTTCCACCGACCGCCGTTTCCTCTTTCTTGTCGCTTCCTTTTTCTCTGGAGTTTAAAACCCCTCGCATTCTCAGTCAGTACTCACTCTGCACGCTTTTCACTTCTCGCCTTATCTCTTGAAGTCGCCGCAGATCTCCTCCCAATGGGTATGGTTTTTTGTTCTTTTACTTTCTGAAGTGATTTCTACTTATTGACACAGCCTTTTCTGATTGTTCTTTCGCGTTGATTTGCAGCCAAGGTCAAGATTGGAATCAATGGTACTGCATCGGATTCCTCCTTTTTGTTTGAAGTGATTAGAATGGCCTAGATCTGAGTAATCTTCTTTTCTGTTTTTGGTTTTAATGGTTGCGGAAATGAATAAACAGGATTTGGAAGGATTGGGAGGTTGGTAGCGAGGGTTGCTCTGCAGAGAAACGATGTTGAACTCGTTGCTGTTAACGATCCTTTTATCACCACTGATTACATGGTACTATTACTCTCTTTAGTCTTTTGATTCAGAATTTGCTTTGTGTTTTTGACAAACAATTGCTAGCCGTTGTTGTGATTGTGGTGGATTTTTTTTAATGGATTTTTGTTTGTTTGGTGGAGTAGACCTACATGTTCAAGTACGACAGTGTTCATGGCCAGTGGAAGCACCAAGATGTGAAGGTCAAGGATTCCAAGACCCTTCTCTTTGGTCAGCAGGCTGTTACTGTTTTTGGCATCAGGTAACAAAAGAGCACAGTTTGTCCACTTCCCAAGTAATGATTTATTTGAAGATTTGAGAGTTTCTTTTGAACTGATAATTGAATGTTGAATTGAATATAACTTTAGGAATCCGGAGGAGATCCCGTGGGCTGAGACCGGAGCCGAGTATATTGTAGAGTCCACTGGTGTCTTCACAGACAAAGACAAAGCCGCTGCGCATTTGAAGGTTGTTATCTCTTCTGCATGTGGGCTTTTTATTTATATATATAATTTATTTATTTTAATAATCATTTTCTTGGAAATATTATTTTATCGAGCTGTTGAATATGTTTTTCTCGTTTCTGAAAAAAATAATAATAAAAAGAAAATCCTATTTTGGTGTCTAAACTTTTCTATATATTTCATATTGGTTTCTAAGCTTTCAAGAAATAACTCTCAGTTATTTTTTAGTCTCTAAACTTTGCACGAAAAACTATTATGCTTCCTTACCTAACACGTGGTGAGGTGTCTATAAATTCCTTGACTAACTTAAATTTCTTTTTCTGAAAATTTGACACCTGACCTATCAAGTGGCTTAAGATACATGGCCTGTAGACATTTATTGATGAGTTGGATGAATAAATGAGATGTATAGGTTAGCTTTTGGTAAATAATGTTTCTAAAAAAGTAATAGCAAGAATAGAATAGAATTTTGAATCTAGAATAGAATTTAAATCTTTTTTAGTTATATGGTGTAAACTTTATAGTTTATCTTTTGTCATCTAAACTTAATAGTAGATTTGAAAAAGTAGCTAATTGATTACTTCTGTTAATCTGAGAATAATAGTTCAAGTTTGAATCTTCATGTTTTTTGTTATTTTTTCTTCTAGGTGGAATAAAAGATAATATTCATTAGTTAATTTCTACTGCTTTAGAATCCATCAGTAATCAAACTGACTGATTCAACTCAAACACGTGCATTTGGCATTCATTTTGGCTAATGTTTTCATAATTTGGTGCAGGGTGGTGCAAAGAAGGTTATCATCTCAGCTCCCAGCAAGGATGCTCCCATGTTTGTTGTGGGAGTCAATGAGAAAGAGTACAAACCAGAACTTGATGTCATATCAAATGCTAGCTGCACCACCAACTGTCTTGCTCCTCTTGCAAAGGTTATTTTCGACTCCTGTGACTTGTAATTCATTATTTTTGAAAAGGTAGAATTTCTTTATAAATTGTGGGACTTCCTCAACATTCTTGGCTATGGGGTGGAGGTAACCATCTGATTCTTTAAACATTTTAAAAAATTGCAGGTAATTAACGATAGATTTGGCATTGTTGAGGGCTTGATGACCACAGTTCACTCAATGACTGGTGGGTCTTCCATCTTTGGCAAAACATAGATATAAGACCATTAGTATTAGCTGATATTTGACTTTAGAGGATTTATCTGGTGTGCTCAATTTGTTTTCTTTCTGTTAACTTCTTGCATATAGCCACCCAAAAAACTGTTGATGGACCGTCTAGCAAAGACTGGAGAGGTGGAAGAGCTGCTTCATTCAACATCATTCCTAGCAGTACTGGAGCTGCCAAGGTATTGATGATTGATGAGTTTTACTGTTCTTGTTTTTAAATATGGTCTTTCCTAGCTTATCTAAGGTCTGTCTGTCCTGATTGCTGTGTTCGTTCAGGCTGTCGGCAAAGTGCTGCCTGCACTGAATGGAAAATTGACCGGAATGGCTTTCCGGGTTCCTACTATTGATGTCTCGGTAGTTGACCTTACAGTGAGGTTGGAGAAGCCAGCGTCTTATGAAGACATCAAAGCTGCCATCAAGTAAGGATACGGTTCTTCACTTCATTCAAAATCAAATTATTAGTTTACCATCTAACAACCGGTTTTTGCTTTTTGGTGCCTTTTCGTCGTTTGAAGAAAATATTATCTTCCTTCGATTCATTTTTTCTTTGTTGGTTCTTAGGGAGGAGTCTGAGGGGAAGTTGAAAGGAATTTTGGGTTACACCGAGGATGAGGTGGTGTCCACTGATTTTGTTGGTGACAACAGGTATGGTTTCATTTTTTCACGCTTAAACTTGTATGAATTTGAAGAATTTGGCATTATAATAAAGTTCCTTTACTTCTATAATAGTAAAATAAAGTCTGTGATCTCGATGTTAAGAATTCTACGAAGGAACATTCTAACTCCAAACTAACCTGCTGCATCCATTAGCCCGAATGCACAAACAGCTCGCCAATTTAACATTCAAAAGGTCATGTCGAGTCTATGTAGCTTTGACGTGTTGGAGACTTGATCGATATATTATAAAAGATGGCTTTATTATTTCTAAGTCATGTTGCTCTGCAACCATCCAGGTCAAGTATTTTCGACGCCAAGGCCGGGATTGCCCTGAACGAAAAGTATGTGAAGCTCGTCGCGTGGTACGACAACGAGTTAGGCTACAGGTAATATACAAAGCTTTGCCATTTCTGCGATTATATGCTGATGGGGATCGCTTGATGAGGCTCATTTCTGATCCGATCTTTATTTGCAGTACTCGTGTTATTGACTTGATTGTTCACGTCGCATCTGTCAATTAAGATAAGATGCATTCATCGAGTGCCGGTAGCTTTCTCCTTCAGCTTTTCTTGAGGCTCCATCCATGAGTTGGGAAATAAAAGAGTTTTCAGGCTTTTCTTTATTCTGTGAACTTCCATTTTCTGAAAGTTCTGTTCTGTGACTTCAATTTTCACCCTGTATTTTGTTCTTCATGAGTGAAGATATCCATGCTTTCATTTATAATTCCCGTCGACATATTCGTAAATTTGAGTTATGGATATTGAGTTTTAGACTATTGACGATCCGATGTTATCTACTATTTTGTTAGCATTATGATATCCAAGGAAATTGGATGTTATGTCATAGATTTCATGGACGTTAATCTATCCATTAATCCTCTTAGTATTGAACTGAAAATTAATAGTTCACTCAAGAATGAATTTTTTTATTACGTTATAAATAGTCTTTCTCCATGAACTCAACCAAAATGTTGGAGGGTCGAATTTTCGAATTTTCACCTGACCTTAGGGAAAAAAATAACTCAAAATTTAAAAGTTTATGTATCCAGTTTCTTACTTTTTGCTTGTCATTGTACTGATCTATAAAATTAATAGGCTAATTAAGGACCGATGTGTCGAACAATATAATCATAATGGTTAGAGATGGATAATGATAATAATAATAATAGGATTGAAATTCTACAAGTTGTATCGTTCTTAAATTTTTAAAATATTTATTTTAATTTTTGAACTTTTTAAAAGTAATCATGTTCATTCTTAAATTTTGAACATGTCTATTTCAACTTTCAACAAATTATTATATTATATTACCAATTAAAATGTGTAATTTTCATATTTATAATTTATGTGGTTAAAATACATACTCACAACAATAAGATAGTATACATATTTGAAATTTTGAAGTAAGGATAAATATAGTTACTAAGCTTTTCAATTAATTGGTGGAACGTTTTTCAATTCATTAGTGTATATATCCCAGATGGTTGAACTTGAGAAAGAATAAAATTTCAAAATTTTAAAGACAATTATTGACAAGTTTTTTTTTATTACAACATGTGGGGTGAGGAATTAAATTCATAATGTTTTGGTTGAAAATATATATCAATTACTACTGATTATGTTTGCTTTGCTTTAAAATAAATATAAATAGACATCTCAAAATTTTAAGGACAAATATTGACAGTTTAAAAGTTAAAAGGAGCAGGAATAGATATTATATTGACAAGTTTAAAAGTTAAAAGAGCAAGAATAGATATTTTGAAAGCTTAGAACCAAAATGAAAAAATTTGAAAAGTGGAAGGACTGTGATTTAAATATATATATGTGTGTGTGTGTGTGTTTGAAATACTGAAAATTACTATGTAATTCTTTATTAAATTCATGCGCCACCGTGGAGCATATGACAACAGCACAGCTACCACATTCAAATCCCATTTGATTTCGATCTCTCCGCCAAATCACGTTATTTGCTTCTCTCTCTCCTTTTTTGAAACTATTTTTTTTCGAGCAGGACCTCCAATGGACTTCCTTTGACTGCTCAAAATGCCGAGTTTTAGATTTCAAAAGCTTCCACTGTTTCTTTGATCTTCTTAGAAATGGCGTCCTCTGCTTTCAAATCTACGACCAAACGGACGCCGATCGGAGCACCGGCGGCTTCTGGTGATGACTCCACTTCCACCAATCGGAGCTCGATTCACCGCCGCTCTCGAAGTCTCAGCCGATTTTCCCACCCTATGCCGTCGTCTCCCGTGGACAAGGCCTTCGATGAGGCCCCGGCGCGGCGAGGTAGGTTTGTCAACACGTCGAGAGGCTCGGGATTCCCTGAGATCAGTCTCGATGACTTAGCCGTCGAATTCTTCGGTTCTGGTGATCGAGGGCGCTCTGCTGCGCGGAACTCCGAGTCAAGTGGTGCTACGAATGTCGCCGCAGCTTCGCATAGACGAGGGAGGTCGGTATCGAGACACGGTTGCTCTAAGACTAGCGTCAGTGGTAGCGATGGCAAAGGAAGACCCAATTATAGCGTTGGTGGGGAAAAAGTGGTTCCCGAAACTAATTCGAGAAGAAGGCGCTCTGTCTCAGTGGTTCGCTACCAGATTAGCGACTCGGAGGTGAATATTCGTTCCATTTTCCCCCAATTCGATTCTAGTTTGAATAATTTCCTACTTAGACATTGCATCAATAAGAATTCAATTGAGGTCGGAAGCATAGTTGATTTTGTTTTTGTAGAAGCTTAAGACAAAAATAAGTAAAACCGTCCAATATTCTACTGTGGAAGCTTGAGTTCCAAATATTATGTAGAAATGGTAAGCTTATGAACTACATGCGGATACTGTTGTATTCTATGAGTTTGCCTTCGGTAGAATTGATGGTTTAACTATAGCTTGTAAGATCGACATATTTGTTTCCCAAGAATAAATTGCTATAACAGTTCTAATTTTTCTTTAAGGAAAAACTATTGTGTTCATTCTTCTCTAATAAATTCCCTAGTTCAATGTGGAGGGTAGGTGCAATTAGATTTTGATAAAAGAAAACTTTGTGTTTTGATGGTTTGTGGAAAATGGGCTCGGTAATTCTTGTACTTACCCAATGAAAATTTTCAAACACAGAGTGATCTTGATCGATCTCAGAATTCTGGAACTCGTGTCAAAGAAAAGAGCTTTGGCATCGGAAATAAGCAGAAGCCGATACCCCATAAGGCTGATGATTCAAACCGTAGACCAACATTGAGAAGGTCTCTTAGCCAGAATGATTTTAAGTGCCATGATGGTTATTCAGTAAGCTCTTCCCCCTTTTAATCACTGTATATTGTATTCACTCGTTGCTGGGGATGGGGAGGAGGGTTTGCATTATGTGGTTTCCCCCCTTTTTATGACCAATTCCTATTACAGAGCCAGTCCTCAGTTCTAACTGATGATGAGGGGAAGGATGCTTACTTCGGTAATAACGGAGTAGAGAAGACTATTCGAACGATTTATGCAAGAAAGGTCCATTCCTCTGAAATCGAAAGTTATACATATCAATGCTAAACATTTTCCATCATTACATGTCTGGTACACTTCATATCTTTCAGGTAAAGCAGGCAAATGGGGATGTTGTTGACAATGGCTTGTATGAAGCAATGCGGAAAGAACTTAGACATGCAGTGGAAGAGATAAGGGTGGAACTCGAGCAGGTTTGTGACATCTTTTTCAGTGGTTTTTGTTATACTCTGCAATAGCAAATTGTTTTTATTGTGGACTAAGTTATCCTAATCTTTTACCTAGATTCTATGAAAATTCCTCTCAAATAATGCAGGAAATGGTGAACAGAAATTCGTCTGTTGGAACTTTCAGTGATGACTTGAATTCAAATGATTCTGGTGTTCTTCAGCAGACATCTCCGTTTACAAGAAATTATTCGACAAAACAAGAACAGGTAATGATTCTAGTGGTTTTCTTGTGATTCATCCTGAAGTTTTCTTTATGAAAATCTGTATCAGACTTGCCCTGACATTGGCAGAAAATTTCAGTTGCGAGTTCTGGGGGTTCATCTACCTTTTAGTTTCTCTTCCACTTCTTTATCTGTATCTTTTCTTCTCTGGCGTTCTATTACAAATTCTTATATCCTTTAAGTGATTCATTACATGTTCTGATGGTGACCAAAAACCTTTCTGACTTGACAGTCAGAGAAGCGCAGAGATTCATTGGCTAAGATGGTGCTGGAGGAGCAACGTGGTCAACAACTTCCTAAGATGGTTAAAAATTTGCCTTCTGACCTGAAGAATGTTGTTGCAGAGAACTCCCCACGAATTAGAAAGGTGCTTTGATTCTTGTTTTCACTTTGAAAAAATTACAGAATCAAGATTTTTTAAATGATTGTTCTCATCTGGGAACATGAACACTCCAATATTAGTTCAATATGAGGAACTTTTGTGACGAATATCAAACACATCTGAATAAGTGTCTGTTTCTATTTTCTCATCAAGGATAAAAAATGTCGGGGACACAACAAGGACACAGTTAGAACACAAACTTGGGACACTTCTGGGATCGTTTTACAATTTTTATTAATTTAGATTAATTGGGCTATATCACCTACTTCCACCTGAAGTTAGAATCCAGTCCCTCTAATCGGGAACTCGGAATCTCCTACATCACCTACTTCCACGGTTCCTCTAACAAATAACATTTAATCCCCTGAAACAATTGTAATCTTGATGATTATTTCTGTTTCTATCTTTCAGAGGAGCAATGACCGGAACAGGATGTCTAAACGATTGAGTGAGGAGGCGGAAAAGTACATCGAGGACTTCATTTCCAATGTCGAAGATACAGATATTTCATCTCTTGATGGTGACAGAAGCGACACCAGTTCATCTTTAGGGGGAAAAACGAAACCAAATTTCAAAGTTCCAGCAGTCAGCAAATACGTTCCTCCTGGAATGGATGGTGTCCTACTTCCATGGTTGCAATGGGAAACCAGTAATGATGCTTCTTCTTACCCTCGAAAGAATACGAGCGAACCACCTATGACTCCACAAACTTTTCCATGGGATGTTAATCAGGTAAAGTATAATCTAATCCATGAGCAATCTGAAAGCAATCTTCTTTGAATATTTGATAGTTTCTGCCTAGAAATGTCTTATTTGTAAGAACCCAGTCAAGTTTTTTCTTTTTTAAGTTCAACATGTATGATCAGGATTTGAATTGCTAACCTACCGACCTTTTGATTGATGATATATACCTTTAATTGTCGAGCTATACTCAAATTTGGTGTAGGAATTCAATCAAACTAGGAGTCTAACTATTCAGGTTCTCTCGTTCTAACCTTTAGAAGTCGGGATTTTTGTTGTAGGAATCGACGAATGGACAGGATCAAAGTAACCATTCTGGTAGCAGCCAAGGGAGTTGGAGCCCTGGAGTTGGCATTGGAGTTTGTGGGAAAGTTGTTGAAGATTTAGGAAGCAGATTTAAGAAAGCTGGTAATTATCAAAATCAATCCTATTTGGAACCAAGAGATCAATCTCGGTTTGATATAGAGGAATATCTGAAGCGTCCAAGCAGTGAAGATTTTCTTTTAGAAAGATGGAAGCAGCAACACAGAACCAACTGCAGTGGTCTTTTGCTCTGTAATCGTGTATTTTTATAGTTTTAGTTTTTTTTTTTATTCTCTTTCTCACAATTAAACTGTTCTCTCTGTCTCTCTCTTTTTTGAGTCTTGATGGTTTGTAAATTAGAATTCATTCAGTGTTTGGGTAAATGATGATAAAGGGTTCACCACAAAAAGAAAGTCCTATAAGAATTTTCTCATTTGTGTACTTGATTGATTCTTTTAGTTTGAATTAGTGTCCTTCAGAAAGAAAAGCTCTCCTATTTTTTTTTTTTTTTTGTGGTTTTTAATAGGGTATATCGAATAATAGAATATTTTCTTGAGTACAAGATGTGGGGACGAGAAATCGAACTCACAACAAAATCAGTTATGAATTAATTTGGATTGTCAATTTAGTCTTATACATTTGTAAGTTAGAATAGATACCTAATTCTTAAATACTCAACTGTTGACTGAGTTTTTTTCTTTTTAAAGATTAAGAAATATTTTTTGTTACCCTTTTTAGTTGAAGTAATGATTCAGTGTTTAAACTTTAATTTGTAACAATGCAATTTTTAACTTTAGTTTTTGAAGTTTTAGTATTTGCTATTTCAAATTGGTAATAATTTAATCATTAACCGTACGTTATAATTTAGTCTTTATCATAAACACAAATACCAAATGTGTTTATAAATTACAAATATTAAATTATTATTATCGTTCTTAATTTTAATGAAATTTTTTTTAGAGACTAGAATGTTAGTTGTTACAAATTTTAAATTATAGAGATTGAGTTGTTACTAACTAAAAGTTTAGAAACTAAATTATAATCCATTTGAAAGTAAAAATGCTCAATATGTTATTTAATCTATTTTTTAAAGAATGCCAACCGACCTAGGCATGCTAGTTCACAAAATTTTAATAATTTCTATATTAATATATTAATCAAACTTATTAAATATTTTTATATAATTGATGGTTAATGATTAAAATAATAAAAAACCTAATAAATTAAATTTTTTTTAAATGGGTAGTAGTAATAATAATGATAATAATAATCAAATCTGATTCCTTGAGATAATTAAGGATAATCCTCAACGAATCCTTCCCACGAGTTAATTAGAAATTTTACATTTTAATTTAATCCACTCATAACAATACTTTTATAGCATTAAGTTTTTAAATTTTCATCAAACGAAAAACCCAAAACAAAATTAAATAACGAAAATAAAATCAAAATTCTCTAAACATCAACTAATATAATGTATTAATTATAAAAAAAAAAACGTATATCTACATATAATTGACTTAAATAAAACTCGCTTGAATTATCCTAATTAAATTAGTTGTACTAAAAAGGGGAAAAAAGTTATCCTAATAAAATTAGATAACAGAAGTAGGAAACCTATTTTGATTAGGATATTAAATACCCAAAGAGGATTCGGTTATAGGTAGCGCCTATAAATACCCCTTCTGACCTCTCGATTTGTTCACTAACAGAATTCTGAACTCTGTAGAGTGAGAAACCAATAGTACTGAAGAAATCTGAAGAGAGAGAGAGAGAAAGAGAAATGGAGAACAAAGGAGATTTGGAGCGGCCGCAATCTGAGGTGAACGATCAAAATCTCAACGATTGGCTTCCGATCACCAAATCGAGGAACGGAAACTGGTGGTACTCTGCTTTCCACAATGTCACCGCCATGGTCGGCGCCGGAGTTCTTGGTCTTCCTTACGCCATGTCGCAGCTCGGATGGTACGTAAGACGCCGTTTTTTCTATCGATTTCTGCCCCTAGCCCTAATTTCCTTGCGCTAGGGTTTTACTTTAGTTTATAACAAAATAAATAACAAACATTGACAAATCGGAGAGATTACCGTTGGCTTCATTTCGTATGTGGTTTTGTGCATGAAATCTCTCCAAATTGCATGCGTGATAGCTAGTATTAGATTTTATTTAAACGTATTTCTTCCCATCTTCTAATCTTAGCAACTAAACCCTAAATTCTAAAAATAAGTGGAAATAGTCATGCTAAGCTTTGTTGGAGACTTCGAATAATTACTAATAATTTTTCTTGATACTTTTATTTTGAAAAAAAAAAAATTTAGCAGTAATTGACATTTATCTCAAATTAAGAGGTTGTGAGTTAGATTCCCACTCTACATATCGTATTAAAAAAAGACCTCACATCATTAATTGACATGATTAATATAGAACAATATTTAACTCTATGCTGATGATAACTTATTTTCTATTTCTGAAATGACTAAATAAGTATTGAATTCTTATTAATGATGAGACATCATTTGAATAAGCTAATCTAAGTATAAGTATAAGTATTGGCATTGTATTGTTTGGTTGAAAATGAAAGAAAATATTAAAAAAATGATGTTACATACAGGGGACCGGGAGTGGCGGTGATAGTGCTGTCGTGGATAATAACGCTGTACACGCTGTGGCAAATGGTGGAGATGCACGAGGCAGTGCCAGGGAAGAGGTTCGACCGGTACCACGAGCTGGGTCAGGAGGCGTTTGGGCCGAAGCTGGGCTTGTGGGTGGTTGTCCCTCAGCAGCTGATGGTGGAGGTCGGCGTCAACATCGTCTACATGATCACCGGCGGCAACTCCCTCAAGAAGATCCACGACCTCGCCTGCCATGGCTGCCGCCCCATCAAGTCCACCTACTTCATCATCATCTTCGCCTCCGTCCACTTCTTCCTCTCCCACCTCCCCAGCTTCAACTCCATCACTCTCGTCTCCCTCGCCGCCGCCGTCATGTCCTTGAGGTTCGTTCCATTCACCCACCTCTGCTACTATATTTATAAACCTTGTCAAGTCTCTTGATGTGTTTGGTTTTAATTTGTACATGCAGTTACTCGACCATTGCTTGGGTGGCTTCTGCGCACAAGGGGCCGCTCCCTGACGTGAGCTACGGCCACAGAGCCTCGACCTCCGCAGGCACCGTCTTCAACTTCTTCTCTGCGTTGGGAGATGTGGCGTTCGCGTTTGCCGGACACAATGTGGTGTTGGAGATTCAGGCCACGATCCCGTCGACCCCAGAGCGGCCCTCCACGAAGCCCATGTGGAAAGGCGTGATTGTGGCGTACCTTGTGGTGGCCCTCTGCTACTTCCCCGTCGCCCTCGTTGGCTATTGGGTCTTTGGCGACTCTGTCCAAGACAACATCCTCCTATCCCTTGACAGACCCCGCTGGCTCATTATTGCTGCTAATCTCTTTGTTGTTATTCATGTCATTGGCAGCTATCAGGTTTCAACCTTACTTTAAACTTTTAGATTCAGTGGAAATGTTTATCTTTGTCTTCAATTATTCATCATGAGTTTGCATTGTCATGCAGGTGTTTGCAATGCCAGTGTTTGATATGATGGAATCATTCTTGGTCAAGAAGATGAAGTTCAGGCCCTCTGGGTGCCTTCGTTTCACCACTCGAACCATCTACGTTGGTACGTATGCTTATCAGTTAGTACTCATCTTTTGTTAACTACTATTAAAAAATTTAACAAAAACGTTCTAATTTATGTGTGATGAATTATTGTAGCATTTACAATGTTTGTTGCGATGACATTTCCATTCTTCGGCGGACTTCTCAGTTTTTTTGGAGGCTTCGCATTTGCTCCCACAACATACTATGTAAGTTTAATCCTTCTTTGTTCATAACACCATTGCCACTTTGAGAAAATGTCAATGAATAATCCAAAGCTTTCTAATACATATCTATGATCATGTGTGTTTTTGCAGCTGCCTTGCATTATGTGGCTTGCCATCAAGAAACCAAGACGCTACAGCCTATCTTGGTTTACTAATTGGGTAACATAAACACTCCCTCTCCACATATAATTCTAATTAAATTCAAATATTAATGCAAATAAAAACTTTATATTATATGAAAACACAAACATCAGATCAAAATCTGATTATATTATATGGTTTTGTGAAATTCCAATCTCAGATATGCATCGTTGTTGGAGTAACATTGATGGTGTTGGCCCCCATTGGAGCACTGAGGCAGATCATTCTTCAAGCTAAGAGCTTCAAATTCTACTCCTAGATCATCATCTTACACTTCTTCCTTATTTGTCAATTCTTTTAGAGAGAAGATTCTTCAACATAGGCTTAGCTTCTTCCTTTTTCTTTATTTCTTTTTTTTTAAGCTTTTGTTTTGTACTTAGACTAATTTAAGTTCATAGCTTTTGTGCATATTGGGAATATTTTTTTCTGATAAAAGTAATAATATGATTCGTTTGAAGATCTGTTTTCTCCTCTTCTCTTCTGCTCTGTTTTGTTTAATTAGAAAGGAAAAAAAACGAATCTTTTGAGTGTATGAAAGTCAAGTTTTTATAATGGATGTACGGAGGAGGAGCTTAGATTAATTAAACATAATCAAACCAATGATTAGACCCAAACTCATTATTTTAGTCGGGTTAACTTTTAAGGCCCCAAACAAGAATAATATATGGGACCTTGAATTAATAATTTTAGTGAAAAACAAAAAGTATTTTTTGGTGCCAAATCTTCAATATTTATAATGTTGAATAGAAATTATTGAATATTGTTACGAAACTAATCTTTTATTATATTCCATGATGTCGCCTCACCTTACTATTATAGGAAATATTTTGCATGCCCCAACACACCAATCATAAAAGGTTACTATTTTATTAAGTTTTCCATCTAAGAGTTGGTGAACTTAAAAGATTAAGCTTTTAAATCCCTCGCCACACCATACTCAGCCGTAATTGATATCTAGTTCTTCTATTCGGGTCGAAATTCAAACTCCCATAATTCTCTTGAGATTCAAACTCCCATAATCCCCTCGTCAATTATGCTCAATCGTAATTGACATGTAGTTCTTCTCTTGAACTTCAAAATTTGAATTCTCGTACTTCTTTTGAGGTCGGAAGTTCGAACTCCCATAAAAAATAAAAGATCTAAAATCTCCTCTCATTTAAAAAATTAGAAGAGATGACGTTTAAAATTAATTATGGATTAGAAATGAAAATGACATTATACAACTATCCATATTTATAAAAGTCTTTAGTGCCAAGGAAAATAAAAACTTCCTCATCTAAATGGATAAGACTTCTTAATTAGTCTTGCATGTTAGGTATAAGTGGAACATAGGGATGAAAATGATAACAGAAGTTAAAAAAAAAAAAAAATATATATATATATATATATATATATATATATATATATTTTGTTAGTCTACTTCAAAATTCTAATATGTGGTTAATTATAAAAATACTTTAATAAATAACTATTTATATCTTATTAACACAATAATTTAGAAGCATGTGTATATATTAGACATAGTTATATTCCTTTTTTTTCTTGATATGACAACAAAAGGTGCCGAACATATTTTATATAAATATAGAGATGTGTTTGGAAAATAAAAATAAAAATTATTTGATGAGAGAATATGCCACATCAAACAATTATTTTTTAAAACAAATAAGTGAAAATTATGTTTAAATTTTAAAAAAGACAAAAGTGATTTGATATGTACGAGAAATTACAGTAAAAGGAGAAAAAAGTTCTAGATCAGTATTAAGTTTTACTGTTTACCGATTAGATAGGTGAAAAAGTTAATATAAACAAAGATATCTATTTTATATAGAACGTTACATCTTACTTCTTTCACTTATTTTTCTTTTATTTTGGTATAATTTTAACTTTTGGTTTATTTTAGTCGTCTTATAATATATTTGTATTTTTCAAATGTTATTTTTTTTTTACTTATAGTTGATCTTTGTTTCAAATGTTATTTCTTTGTACTGTACTTTGATCTTTGTTTGTAAAGTTTTAATATAATTTCTCTATAATTATATTCAAAAAAATATATTCAATAATATGTTGCATTAAAAAATAAATTAAAATTTATTGTGTTAAGAAAAAACAAAATAAATGAACCAAAACAATTGGACCCAAGATGGACAAAAATTATTACTTTCTAACAATTTAAACCTATATTACACTATTCTTCCAATTTTGAAGAAACAATTACAAAAAGTATTCCAACCATTCATTAAATCTTAGGATGAATAAAACAAAACTTTACCTAATTACATGGGTTATCCACCTAAACTGAAACTGTATCAATGGTATAACAAAATATCATGCCAAGACGTAAATAACACTATTATTATTACTCCTCAATAAAGTATAAAAAAATTATCTTTTTTTAGTTAAAGAAATTGGGAGAGTGAGTTTCAACTTATTAAGCCTCATTCAATTCGAGCAGTAAAAAAATTTATCTTAATTTATTCTTAAATTTCATTCTTATTGTTATGAATTCTAAACTATCATTAAAATTATCCTAAACATTATTCTTAGTTTTCAACTTTATCTATATATCAATAATTTCAAGATCTAACTCAAATAAATAAATAAGCATTAATTTTGAAACCATACCTGTCAAATTCCTGCAATACAGTTTTCGTCAAATTTCTACTAAATAAACTGTGGAAAAAAAAATAATAATAATCATCTAGAAAGCATATTACTAATTACACAACATCCTCTCAACATTTATCTTTTTTCAAAAATCAATATATTCTCAAACAAGTTGGAAATTCCAATATTTACAGAGTAGAGCAAGAAAGAGGGTCACGATTCGAGGGGTAGGGATTGGAATTTAAAGAGAAAAAAAAACACAGTTAATTTTCAGTGCAATGGAAAACCTCAGCCCTAAGAAAGCCCTATTTACAATTCTGTGAAAACCTCCAAATAAAACTCGGACCGGTCACCGACGACGGGTCACCGGCCGAGGCCGAGACTGAGCGCCGCCCCGACGTCGAGGCGCCACGCGTAGCCTCCGCCCTCCATTCTCCAGACGTCACACGGCACCGTCAACGAGGTTCTTTCCTCCT